CCACTCACTTGTTTAGACATTTTGTCATCTTCAATTTGTGTCTGTCACTCCCGGGCTTCCTGGAGGCAGGCGACTGCTCGAGGGGATCTGGGTGAGTGCGGTGCATTTCCGAAAGTGGATTACAAGCTGAAGGCACTTGTAATCGCTGTGTTAAGCCAGCGAGCGATGGGGATGAGGGCTGGATGCTATTGAACCGGTCGGAACTTCCTGCTGCTGGCCCCCAAAAACTTGGCAGATGCCACTGGATTGCTGGCTGAATGCTCTTGGTTGCTGGCGTGGCATCCTCATCTATGTATTTGCCCGGCTTCGGCAGGCGGCGTTTATTGAGTTTTAATTGGATAAGTTATAGATGCTCATGTTGCATAAATTCCGCAGGCTCCTTTGTTTTGACACCACCAATCCGAAGGACCACGAGCAGCTGCACATCCTTGGGCGGAATTGTGCGGTCGTGCGTCAAATGCCGGGGAACGTGCAGCTCATTTACCTGACCAAGGAGACAGGGGAGGTCCCTTTTTTCCCTTTTCTTCAAGGACTACTGTCATCCCCACGTCAGCACAATCGATGAAAGTTCGCCGGGAATCTCGCTTAATTAATGTCAACTATGAAAAGCGTTTGCCGAGCTCATTTTCATTATATAAACGCAGCCACTTTGATTTCCATACACACAGCAGGGCGACGGGAAAAAACGCCGAAAACAAAAGCAATAAATATACAAAAGCTGGGGAAAAACAAAGGCGGCGAGAAGGGAAAACAAAGGAAAACATTTTACTGGCTTGTCGCTGTCTTTATTGCCGCCTAATCGCAATGGACCGCGCCGAAGTTGTTCTTTTTCCAGGCTGCACTAGGGCGGCATCATCAGTCATGCTACTTCATTATTATCGCTGACACTGCCACCCCCTCCCCCCCAAACACCACCCACCCACCGCTCTAAACACCCCACTTCCTCGCCCGCTTGTCGCTTATAATTCATTTCTATTGTGCCCCGGCTGAAAGTCCTTTTTGATCCAGCAGACTTATTTGTCTTGAGGAAACTCGCAGTAAAATTGCTTTTCCTACTACGCGCTCACTTCCTGTTGCCGCTTGTTGCGCTCTGCTCTCGAAAGTCTGGCGCTGACGCAACTTTTCCATTGTCTTGCCGCCTTTGTGAGGACCGGCCAAGTCGCAAGGATCGGTGTTAATAGACGCCTGGCTGCCGGACTCGCCTGCAACAAGCAGCATCAGCAACAGAAAACAGCAGTAGAAGTAGCGTAAGCTTCGCTACACTGGCCAAAATATCACTGACACAATTATACAAAAAATAATATCAAATACTAAGATTTTTGAGAAATAAAAGAAGCTCTATACCTTACCAGCTAATTATAAAATGAACAAACCTATTTTTAAAATCCTATAAAATATACAAGTTGCTTAAGAAAAAAAGCATTTAAACTGTTATTAAAAAACCAAAGTCTTTTTTCTCTTTGTTTCACTATTATTAACTTCAAATTGCTTAATTATAAACTCTTTTTTTTTTGAGTGCCTCACCCTCAGCAGCGGACGCTTCAAGTTGGCTCTTCATTTGTCGCTCTGTGCTTATTGTCATTGCGCCCGGCTTCATTTTCTTGTGATTAATGTCGTCATTAACTGCAATTAACTTTTTTAGTTGCCAGCCGCGACAAATCTTTGCCGTTTTTGCCTGAACTTTGGTCGCCAACTTGACTGGCATGTTGAGCAATGTCAATTTGAGTCCTCCTCGCCATCCTTCACTGGACGTCATCAGTCATGTGTGTGAGTATGGGAGAGTTCTTACGGGCGACAACTTAATAGTTTTTGCCCTAATTATTTGTCAAGCATCCTGCTAATGGCCTGGGTCGACCTTACACCACCCACAGTTCTCAAAGTTGTTCGCAAAAATAAAAAGGGAAGCGCCAACAATTTTCGCCTAACGAATCTCACATGCACTCGACAACTCATTGGGGAAATTGCTTCTGAATGGCGGCTTGAATGGGAATCCACACATGAGCCAAGTTCGCTTCATTTCAAGGGAATTAAAGTTCTACTTATTTCAAAGTCGAGAAGAAAGACGACTTAGTGAATTTATCAGCTTAGTTGCGAAGGCAATTTTAATATTAAATACGGACTTGAAGGTTTACTTTTAATCTTTCTTGGCAATCAATAAGGCAATACAAACTAATTATTTAAGTACACATAATTTTAAAATCCACAGACTGCCAATGTACTCACCGAACCAAAATAAGATCGAGATTACTTTCTGTGTGATAGAGCCGAAACAACTTTGGTCCCGATTCGCGAGCCGTGGGCGAGAGTAATTCCACTCCGGGCAAGTGCACGAAAATGTCCTGCTAAGTACGAAATAAAAGCGTTACGTGTGTGTCCCGACGTGCACTTGCCGTGGCCATAAACTGGCCGACTTCCCGTGAGTGCTGGATTGTACGGATGGCGATGTACAACTACAACTGCGGCCTCGGTGAACTTATGTATTTACAACGTGGACGCACGCGTGCTCCACTTTCCCGCCGGCGGCGCAGCCTAGAATTATGCTACAAATTTTATAATTTCACACCTAAAGGAGGCGGAAGGGCAGCCTCCCAAAACGGAAATGGCTCGTAAAACAGCGCCAAACGGCATTGAGAAGTTTTACGCCACGGCTTTTGTTGTTTCACCCGCCAAAAAACTCCGCCATAGGTAGGTACTTTTTGGTTATTTTTTTAGTGCTCCGCCGCTCACTTACACACATACACACATACACTCGAACACTCACATTCACTGCCAGCTGGGACTGGCTTGCATTTTTGTGTTTTAACTTTCTTACAATAAAGTGATGTTATCTTGTGCTTGCCAGCTACTTTGCGGCTTAGGCAACAGGCATGTGGGCGAGTGGGCGTGGCAGCGGTGGTGGGTGGCGGTTGACAGGATCTAGGGGAAATTACTCTGTGCTTTATCGTGCATATAAATCTATTTGCTCAGGTGTTTTTAGCTGCTAATATGTTTGTGATGACTTTATTTTGCGTTTACCGCCAGCTTTGCCTTCATCTGGCTTTTGGCTCCCGGCATTGCTTTGCCAGTTTTCTTTATTTTCCCATCGGTCCGCCCACGGTCGCATTTTTCCTTTTAGCCACCTTATTTAGATTGGGCAAGGGCGGCAGCTTAGCTGTTTTTGGTTTTTTTTTTCGGTTGCCTTCTTGCCTTTATTTGGTTGCTTGCGCTTCGGAAAAGTTGTAAAAAGGTTTTTTGGCCCAGACCAGATGCGCTGCAGGCTTAAGAGAACCGCACTCCCGGAAATAGAGAAAATATTCCAAGGCTGCCTTTAATATTTCTGCACCCGGCCAATGTGGCGTATGCGCAATTTGGTTAAATACGTGACGTACCCCGGGCAAATTAAAAGGGACGGGCATTAAGCTAAATGTTTAAAGCACTTAGCCGGCATGCATGTTGACATCAGGCGGAATGAAATATTCATAGCGGGAAGCAAAAGCCGGGCCAATATGTGGGCTTTGGGGCTCGGGCTCCAAAAGACTCGGCAAGCTTTTAAGCCTTTTTTTAATGCCTTAACTACAACTAGACCAGGTTGTACAGCCCATCCCCACAGCCATTCGTAAGCACACACGCATCGCAGTGATGTCGTCGCGACCACAGAGCATTTGCTCAGGGGATTAACTCTAAAGATCTTAATGCCTCTATTTCGACGGTCTTAAGTAAACTTCCGACCAGGCCGGGTCCTGGCCAACAACAATGTGTGACAAGTCAAGCAGCGCCGGGCCATCATCCCACTCTCCTTGAGAGGAGTGAGCCCAACCGACGGCTACCCCTTGGTTTTTGGCTTTTTATTTGTGTTTGTATTTGGCCCAGTGTTTGTTTTGCCCACTGGTTCCTCCACTCATGCCGCCTTCCGACTTTCCTCAGAGAAAAAAATATTTAGAGAAATTTTAGTTATAAAAATTAAGATTTTTAAGATATTAAGTTGAAGAATTTATAACTGAAAAAGGACAATGAAACGTAAAATGTTTGGCAAACAATATTCACATACACATCAACAATTTGAAATTGTTAAATTATTTTTTTCCAGGATTTGTTTTGAGTGTAACTGTGATTCTAGCGCGGCTGCTCTTGTTGCTAAGCCTCAAGCAGCACTTCCGCATCCTGGCCTGTGTGTGCCTTGTTGTGGCCTTTGGGCCTCCTACTCATACTGGGCCACATATGCGCATTGTCACTGCCAAGTACCACTAATATTATTTACTTTTCGTTAGGTTGTGTTGTGCCAGCTCAATAGATAAACACGTGTCGCCATCAGCAATTTCTCTTCTGATGGGGGCGATTTGGGTTTGGGAACCCCACCTTATGCTTATGACATACCCTGTCATTCGTTGGAAAACTGCCGGAGGCAACAATTATGCCAAATTAAGTGCTGGAACTTTGCCTGCATTCTTTTGGCCCCGTTCAATAAGCCAAACTTTCCGCGAATCGAGAAAACGTTAAAATTGAAAAATCAAGCGGCAACGCGAAATAACAAGAAGCGAACAACATCCAGATGGTGCCCACAGCCAGCCGACAAGGCCGGGTGTAATTGAAAAATATAAAGTATCGCCGCAATCTGATTAAAATTACATTTAAATAATAACAACAAAAACAAGGCAGGAAAGTGGAGGCGGGAAAAAGGGCAGCAGCGAGCCACAAGCGAATTTTCTGTGATGTGCGTCAGGCACGAAACTTGCAATTACAGCTTGTAACGCGGTGCCAGGTAAAAAACTTTACAAAACTTTCCAATTGCTTTTCATTGAAATGTTATCGATAGTAAAGAGAAGGAAAAAATCCAAGGGAAAAATGACCGAGGCAAAATACAATACAGAATAAAGGGAAGAGGCTATCTGGTTAGAAGCCGCAGGTAAAAGTCTTTAACTTAACAAATTTAATAAGTACTTCTAGGAACCTCTTGCTTTTAAAATTTAAAGTGAATCTCTAAACCTTAGTTGTTTATTTAACTAAGAAAAAAATAAGAAAAGTACTTTCCTTTACTTATTGATTTATTAATAAATAAAGACTTAGCTTACAAAGTATGGGTCGTTTAAGGCTAAGGCTTTGATTTGTTGATGTGTGTGGTATACATATAAACAGATGTATGTAATGGTTTGAACAGACTTCTGAAGTTAGTGAAAAAGATGTAGCTCAACTGATTTTATTGCGAAGATAGTACTTGATGAGCTGAATGCATACCTCCGCATCTTCGGCACTGTCGTGGCCGGCCTCTATAAGTAATAACAAAAGTATAGAATTACTTCTTGAAGCTTAAGTAACAAATTAAGTATTAAATGATTAATTACACTTGTGATAGACTCACCGTTTTCCTGTATGATACGCTTCAGATTTTCGATGCATAGGGTCTTAAGAGCGCGCTTCTTTGGTGGTCCCATTTTATGAGGAAACAGCACCGAGGTGTCTACCACAACGTCATGAATGAGTTTAAGCGCCTTCAGGTCGCTCTCCAAACTGTGACCAACGAGCACTGTTTTGGCATGAAACATGGACATCAACACGGCTTGAACGTCGCGTATGTTGCGCGTCTCCTTCGCAAGCATGGTCTCTGTGATGCCCGAGTAGCTGAAATGGAATATGTTTTGTTACTAGAAAGAAATAAGGTAAACTAGCTAAACCTACGTGGTATTATAGTCTACAATCTGGTTGTCCGGCTTGACCAAGGCGTCGTAAACGCTGCGTCCATTTATGTCCACTACGGTGACGCGCGTCAATTCAATTCCATGAGTAGTGTAGCACATCTCGCAATCCAAAGCGAATATGTCCTTTTTGGTAGGTACTATTTCATCACCCCGCTCGATTGTTTTTACAAAACAGGTGAGCTTTTCCGGATCGTAGTAGTCGCTTACGTGGTAATTGGCATAGGTGCAACCTGGAGTGCCAGCTGGCTGCTGGCAGCAACGGTGCTGATTATCCGTAAATCCTCGCCGGTAGCCCGTGCTCTTCGGATGATAGTTGCACATGTCAAAGCCCTGATGCTCGTAAATGTCCAAGCTGAAAACCTTTCCGCAGCGGGAGCAGTAGCGTTCGCTCTGGTTGGGTCTTCTATTCGGACGGCAGGCGCGTATCACCGCTGAGCCGCGCTTTTCCCCAGGACGCGGATATCCATTCTCCACCAGCTGTTCCTCTGTCAGGCGAAGATCGAAGACCATTTCGTATGCTTTTTCTGCGTCCAAAGCATCGAAAGGTTCGCCATTGCCCAAGGAGCTTAGTTTTCTGAAATAAATAATTGATTATTTATTTGTTTAGTTAAACCATCTAAGAAATAATTGATACTATAAGTTGTATGCAACAATATTCCCGGTTGAAAATAAGAACCCACTCTTTTTTTCAACGCTCCATGAGGTGGTTAGCGCTCGCTTGCCGCCTAGCATCATTTCATGAGACACCGTCTTGCTGGCCACACTCGGTCTGTTTCCCGCCTCGATGGCCTCCTTGCGGAGCTTGTTGATCGCCAGCATGCAGCTGTTCTTGTAAATGGCAGGCGTGTTGCACTTCTTGAAGACGGCCAACTCCTCCACCTGGGCTCGTTCCCAGGCATCTGCTAGCTGCGGATAGATGACGGTGCAGTGCTTCACCATCATCTCGTAATACTGAATGCGCACGTTGTAGGAGATCTTAGAGCTGCTGGGTTCCAGTACAGTTGGTTTTTCTGCACTAGCATCGTTGGCCACCGGAGCAGCTTTGTCCAAAGCAACCGTGGGTTTGTGGGCCACTCGGCCGGCGCCTTTGAAGGATTGCGCAGGTGTAAAGGCGGGCTTCTTCTCGGCCTGCAGCTCCTCGATCTTCTTTTTGGCCCGAGCAATAGCCACTATGTTGGCCACGGGGGCAATGCTGCGAGCTGAAAAACATATAAAGTGTATTGTTCGTTTTTTCATGTTGTAAATATCAGATTACTAGTTATTATATTTTGAAAGCCTGTGGCTGTCACACACACCACAAGTAATAAACCACATAAGATTACACTACATGTTTTCATAGTCTTGCGAAATTTAGATTTTTGTTATCAGCCTGATGAAATTTACGCGTAAAAACGAAATTGTTTCTTGAAAGAAACATAATAACTATAAAATCGTACTCACCTGAGCGCACTGGAGGAGTCAAAGCACTTCGCGGGATGAGAGGCGTGAGATTTGAGTTAACCTTGGCCAGGCGAAGCTCTTCCTGCGCTTGGCGCACCCGCTCCTGGGCCTGTCTAAGCTGCTCGGCAGCAGCTTCGGCTTGCAGTTTTTCCTGACGGCGAAGCTCTGCCCGCCGTTCGAAGATCGCCTGCATTGCATTGCGAACGTGATTGGGCTTGCGTATTGCTACCGAAGGAGCCAAATGGGGCTTTATCTTGTCCGCGTTCTCGTGGGCCACCCGTCGCTTCTGCAGCGCCGCAGTCGCTGCTTCAGTGAGTGTGTCAATGTCCGGCGATGGAGCCTTCCGTTTGCGTGAGGTCTCAGGATTGCCTTCGTTGTTATCATCCTTATGCATCTGGGCGAATTTTTTCTCCATCTCGTCAAAGATCATCTCACACTGACGCACAATTTCCCCCTCCGAGGTGTCCATCTCGAAGTCAAAGTCCAGATCATCCTGGTAGTCATCAATGTGATCTGGTGGCGCCGCAGCAGCTTCAGTTTCTTTTTCCGCCTCTGGTTCGCTTTTCGATGGGCCAGTGGCGTTGCTGGATGACGAGCTGCTCTTAGATTTGGATCGTGAACTCGAGGAACTGGATTTGTGGTGATTGCTTTTAGAGGTGGTTGATGAAGAGCTGCTTTTGTGCCTGCTGGAGCTTTTCTCGTCGCGATGTTTGTCGGTGCTGGAGGATTTTTTGCTGGAAGAGGAGCTGGAAGACTTGTGCTTAGAGGAACTAGAGGTATGTCGCTCCTTAGAACGTTCTTTGTCGGTGTGAGATGACTTTCGCTTTCCCTTCTCCTTGTCCTTTTTATCCTTATCCTTTTCCTTGTCTTTGTACTTATCCCTGTCTTTATCCTTGTCCTTTTTTTCTTTGTCCCGGTCTCTGAACTTTTCCTTCTCCTTTTCCTTGTCCCTTTCTCGCTCCTTGCTGGACTTGTGATCCCTTTTGTGGGTCCTTCTTGCGCTCGTTGGCTGTTCCTCCGGCTCCTGCTGCTCTTCCTGTTCATCCTGTTCCACCTTAACATTCTGATGAATCTCCTCGTCGCCAAGGTCGCCCTGGTCTGGCTCTTCAATCTCCACTTGCATTTGCTCGTCAATCTCTCTATCAAGATCCGCCTGCCAATCGTCTGTTCCGTCGCCATTTGTGGCGGATGGCTGACCCGGGACATATTTGGGGGCAAGGTCAACGGTCGCCTCTTGTTTCTTCTTCGCCGGCGAGGCGTTTAGACCCGGCTTCTCCGGGTGGTATTCTAAATTTGACTTCTTCTTGGGAGCACTCAGCGTAATCTGGGGCAGCGGAAGAGAGAGCAGCTTGGGCGCCGGCTTGTACTCTGGCACGGAAGCGGGTTCCGCAGTAGGAGCGGCCTCCACATCGTCTGCAAACCGGAAGTAGTTAGCATTTAATGGAAATTAACTGGAACTTCTCACCTTTGCGGGCATGCTTAAAGTGACAAAAAGGACGACGGCAGGCCGATTCATCGTTGCTGTCGAAGTAAGGGCACAAGAAGCCCTTAAAGAGGCCAGTGGACGGCAGCATACCGGCTTTTGGCGAATTCTCGCTATTTATTCGAGTCGCTCAATAAAGCAAGCGTCCCAAATTTCCTTCTGTTCTCTGGTGTTGCCGTCTATTTCTTATTTCATCACTTGTCAGCAGCAGCTGTTTGTCGGCGTTGCCAGATGCATGCAATGAGATTTTGTTATTGTTATTAGTTTTTTGGTGGAAACATAACAAAAAACGAATACATAATACTTAAAGCTAAAATATCAACTATTAAAGTAAATATGTATATGGGAATTGAAAATATAAGAAACATATATATATATAAATAACTAGAGGTCCTGTGCCCGCTTCGCTGGTCAACACAATTTAACAACATAATAGTCAATGTTGCACGTCCAATTCCTATTCGTCTAACAGCAGGCATTATTTCAAATTGTTAAAGCTCGCTCTATTTTTTGTTTAAATATTTTTTTACCGACTTCATCGATACACAAAATCAACGCAGCTATGATCTTTTTTTTTACATACAACATTGTGTACATCTGTTGAGCCGCTAGCGACTTTTCCAGAAGGTTTTCCCAAAATTTTCTTATGCTTAAACCTTCTTCTGGTTCTAAGCTATCTCCCTACCAATTTTCAGCCAAATCGGTCAAGCCGTTTTCATGTGATGCGATTGCGCACATATTTTGTCTCCATTTTTATATATATAGATATAACTTTAAAGGCCTTTTCGGTCTCGTGTACCGAAGTATACAAAAATTATAAGTATTTTATAGTTTTTGTTGTTGTTGATACTATGCATATAAATAAAAAAAAAATAATCACGAAAAATTGAAAACTCTGGCAATCAGCTGATTGCACTGTTTATTTTCCACCGGGTATGACGCTTGTAAACAAAGTTTGATAATAAAATCATTAATTGAACAACGACAAATATCGGTCTCTTATCTACTTAAATGCACCTGATAACTGCAACGGCGGACTAATTGCTGCCGTTTAGGTAAATCATAAAGTTCAGGTACAAAATTCAACTGCCGGCCCAATGCGAATACATACATATGTGGGTGTGTCTGTCGGAATCACAATCTAGAAATCTACATACTCGCATATTGAAATGCAAATAAAACTGGGGCTTATCAAATGCCGACGCTGTCTGCCAGCCATCGGTAATGATTGTGGTGATATACTACCAAACTGAGTCAGAGGACGCGGGTGGGGGCTCCCGCGAATGCGATAATGCATTGAACTATGTACATATTTAGAGCTCCAGCGAGGTTTGCTGCGATATCGGCACAACCTTTAGATTCAGTCGTATCACGGCAGTCTAGCGAATCGGGTGTCTCCGGTAAAAGTGAATTCATCCAATTCATCAAGTCCAAAGGTCAGTTGCTGAGAAGTTGGCCAGTGATTTCACTACGGGTGCCCCGGCAATTCTGTGCGAATATAAATATTTATAAAGCGACATAATTCGGACTTTGCTCCGCCGATCGGGGAAGAAATTCGTGTGCCGGTAGCATACATTATGTTTACTTTGAATTGCACAGGAACACCACTTCATTGCATATCAAATTACCATTAACTTGTGATATTTATTTGCCGATTTAAGCAAACTGATTAATGTTTATCCTGGAATATACATATTTATTTATCAAGTTACTTGCACTGTTAATGTACCTAGGCATATATTGTTGGAACTTTGGACTCACTAAGCGCGAGAGTGGCTCTGCATATTTTGGTTTTTTTTTTCGAATTCTAATCTGGATGTACCTAGGCCTTTTTCAGGCCCCACACGCAAACTAATCTAAGCGATTCCCAATTGACGCCCGCAGATAAACCAATATGGATCGAGCAAGCCTATATTTCATGAATAAGGATGATAAGAACACGTATGATTTTGACGAGACTCTGCCCTCGCTTCCGCTGCCGGATCTAAAGGACACCATGGAGCGGTATTACGCCTGCATCCAGCCTTTCGGAACGAAGGAAGAGTTGGCTCAGGCGCGAAGGACGATTGATGACTTTCAGAATGGAGTGGGTGCCGAGCTGCATGAACAGCTCAAGAAGAGGGCGTCAACAATGAAGAACTGGCTAGGGACTTGGTGGGAGGACTATGGGTACCATCTCATTCGGATGCCGTTGCTTCCCTACCAACTGATGGTCATGCCATCTCAATTGGAGATGGTGGGTGTGCCGGAGACCCCGGAATACATGCTTAAGGTGAGTTTTCACTTCTGTGCGGCTCTGATGGCCTGTTAAAAAAGGTATTCTCTCTAATATCTAAAGCCCTTGCAACCCATGCTTCAGCAAAAACTTTTGAGAACTTATTGTGTTTAAAGAAACCGTTTTGTAATTGCATTTAACATTTGGTTTGCAAATTTCAATTACAAATTCATTTATATTAGCCTGAGCAAAGGAGCAAATTCATATAATTCCTAAAGTCTAAAGCTAAAATGGCTCATTATTTTGAATCTTCTTGACGAAGTCGTAGGCTTTACTAATTGACTGTATCATTTTGTAGAGCTTGGCTCGCCACATCTACCACACGCTTGAGTTTTGGGATCTAACCCGCTCGTCAAGCATCAAGCCGCTCTCGTCGAACGGTGGGAAAATCAAGTACTCATCCGCGCTGTACAAGCGCTTTTTCTCCACGTGCCGCGTTCCAGGCGAGGAGCAGGACCACATCGAAAATCACTTCCGTACGAAGGACGAGGGCAAGGGCCCGATTCACATCCTAGTCTCTGGCAAGGGACGCCAGTTTATCTTTGATTGTGTTCACGATGACGACACGATCCTGACGGCTCCAGAGATCCTGGTAATCCTGCAGCGGCTGCGGAGCATCCTGGATTACGAGCCCTTAGGCGATTGTGTGCCTACTTTAAGCCATGATGAGCGGACAACGTGGGCTCGCAACCGAAACAGGCTGAGGGAACTCTCGAAGGAGAACAAGGATACACTGCTGCTGGTTGAGAGTGCCAGCATGGAAGTTTGCTGGTACGAGCAATCGCCCAAGGACTATGAGGAGTCCTCGCAGCTGGGACTCTATGGCGACCTCCATTCCCGCTGGGCAGATCGCAGCAGCAGTATAATCGCCTTCCGCAACGGTCGGTGCAACTGGACGGGAGAGCACAGCTGCTACGATGGCACTGTCAGCATCAGTTTCGCTACCTTCATGCAGCTTAGCTTTATGGAGGTGCCGGAGCCTGACTGGTCATTGGCCGAGAACTCGCATGTGGTGGAGCTCAAGGAGCTGCAGTTTCAGCTTGATGATACCCTCAAGAGCGAGATAAAGCGCGTCCAGCAGGACATCGATGATAGGGTATGCTAAGTGGTAGAGTACTGAAAATCAATTATCACTTATTTAACTTCTTTACTTAGGGCATAGATGTTACATCCACTTTCACTGTTTTCGATGACTACGGCAAGGACTTCATGAAAACCCACCGTCTGCATCCGGACTCCTTTGTACAGGTGGTCATGCAGTGGGCTTATTACCAAATGCATAAAGAGTGAGTTGTTTTAAGGATTTCCAGGAAACAATGTTAACTTACTTCTTGTTCCACAGAATTGCTCCCACCTACGAAACTGCTCTTATGCGACAATACTACAACGGGCGAACGGAAACGCTGCGATCCTGCACTGGTGCTGTGGCAGAGTTCCTCAAGGCCTCCTCCAACAAGCAAGTCGGCGAAATGTCACTGGCCAGAGCCTTCCGCAAAGCCGTCGATGAGCACAAGCACTTCATGAACGAGGCCCGCAAGGGACATGGCATCGATCGCCACTTGTTCGGCTTGTGGTGTGCAGCGTACGAAAACAAAATGGACATTCCCGCCTTTTACGATGATCCGATGTACACCAAGAGCGGCGGCGGGGGCAACTTTATACTCTCATCTAGCACTCTTGGCTTCACTGCCAACGTCGGTTTTGTAGCGCCAATGGTTTTCGACGGCTACGGCGTATTTTATTCCATCACCTCTGAAGCGTAAGTTTAATCGTATTTATTGTTAAATCCCAATTGATTTCTTTATTCTCTCTCTCAGTGTGTTCATTAATACCACCGCTTATCGGGATAGCTTCAAGACGAGCGCCCGCAAATTCAACGACATGTTCAAGGAATCATTCCGCCGCATCAGCGTTTTGCTGGAGCAGCTGGCCAAAGAGTCAAAGTTGTGAAGCGCATTTATAATATTAAGAAGGGATTTAATTTTAAATAATGTCGCCACAAAAGTCCGGTTCTCGTTTTTGATTCCGATCATAACATTAATTCCAATTTTAGAACCAGAAAAAGATCCTGAAAATACTTTTCCTTGTTTTAGTTTGACTGAATCAACATGTTTTACAATTACTTTTTTAGCCCACCTATTGATCGGAATTTAATTGAGAACTTGGCTTTTAAAAGTAGTCTGTAAGTTAAAGTGTCAGCAATGTGAAACATTTCCAAGTGTGTGGTTTTGTGTTAAACGTTTATTTAAATTCAATGATCGATTAGTTTACGCAAATACATTTCTTTCGATAATTCATTCATGTTTCAACTCTAAAATGCGGCTAAATAAGCTAAGCGCCTAGCCGCTTTGATACGTTCAACACTTTTTGACTTTCAACTTAAAAAGCGAGCGCCGCAGCTGGCCCTAGAAACTACGTACAAATAAATTGGAGCTCGCGCCGGATTACATATATATACTCGGTCTATATACGAAAACTTTTCGTTAGTAAGTTCGATTATCTGGGAGCTAAATGCTAATTACAAATGGTTCTTACTGCGTTTCTACAATTGGTGCAGCACATCGAGTCGCAGACCCGCGGACAGAATGGGGGAAAAAAAAACATCGTCAGATGAGCTGAGTTTCGGAGCTGGGCCATCCGCACTAGTGCGGCGGGGGCGGAGGTCGGTAGTAGCCAGCGTGCGGCGGCAGCATTGAGTAGCCGGCGGAGGAGTGAGGAGCAGCGATCCTTTGACCCCGTCTCTGCTGCTGTTGCGTCGGCAAGCCGGCGTACGCCTGCACTCATTCCTGCCCAGTGGCCGGCACCGGCTGAAGGTTCTGCTCGGCAGCCGGAGGAGTAGCCGCCGCCGGCGCCTCATCCTTCGATCCCCCGCCCGGGTTGGCACCCTCTCCGGTGGCCTGAAAGGCTGAGGGTCGCTGCACAAACATATTATCAATGATGTGATCGATGTTGTCCGAAATGCCCTCCTCCTTGGCGCCGCCCTTGGCCTTGTGCTTCTCGGATGGCGGCAAGATGGGAATCGCGTTGGTGGGACGACGCTGGGGCAGGGCAGCTGGTCGGCTGGCGGTCTGGGCCGGCGGCACAAAGTAGGTGGTGCCGCCCACCGTGTTGTAGTTCTGGTATGGCTGAGTTGCCTGTGCTGCAGTCGGAGCCTGAGCTGCGGCCGGAGTGGGCTGTGGCACCACCCGGTGGCGCCGCCTGAGCGTAAGCTACCGCAGCCGGAGTGGTGGGCAAGTAGGCAGCAGTAGCCGGACTAACATACGGTGCCTGGGGCACGGCCACCGGCTCCGTACCGGTCACATAGTAGGGTGCCGCCTGAGCCTGTGGATATCCGGCTGCCGGCGGGGCGTGTGGCTTTGGTGGCGCTGGCACTGCCCCTCCGGCAGTGGGTGGTCCCAGTTGCATGGTCTGCAGTTGGGCCTGCAACTCTTGTTGCTGGTAGGCAATTTGCATCAGCATGTGAGGATCCTGGATCATGATCTGCGACTGCTGTTGCTGTTGTTGCTGGAGGTGCAACTGCTGCTGTATCTGCTGTTGTTGCTGCTGCTCCGCCAAGTGCTGCGATGCCTCCTGCTGGGAGCGACGCAAACTAGAGTAGCGTTTGGGCGCATTTCGCTGTTCCTGATGCAGTGGTTGTTGTTGTTGCTGCTGTGGCGCCTGACTTTGGCTGGCCAGCGAGTGCATCTGCACGCTGCCCACGTGGCTGGGATCGTTGCGCTGCTGCACCTGCTGTAGGCGTTGAGAGAGGTTCGTCGTGGAAAGAGGCGTTTGTGGCGGCTGCGGCTGCTGGGGCGGCTGTCGCTGCTGCTGCGATTGCTGTTGGTGATGAGGTTGCTGCTGTGGTTGTTGCTGGTTGGAGCGTGGAGTGTTCGGCTTCTGGTTTCGGTTTTCCAATTGGTCAGGCCCCCTCTCTCGCTCGCGTGGCTGCTGCCCTCGGTTGTTCTTCTTAAACTCCATGCCATTCTGACGCCCTGGGGCACCGTTCATCCGGCCAAAGTTTCGGTTCTTGGGCTCGCGGTCACGTTCCCGTTCGCGCTCTCTTTCCCTCTCGCGGTCTGGCTCCTGGGATCTGTGCGAATTTGAGCCACTGGCCAGGGGTTGCTGCTTCTCTGCAACCAAGCCTCCAGCACCGCCCGATCGTCGGTTCTCCTTCTCCTCGCGCGAGGATGAGGTTCGTGGGCCGCGCGGCTTTCTCTCGTTGAGGGCCGGGAAGTCCTGGGGACGCGGCGGCTTGCGCTCCTTGTTGCTGGCCTTCAAGTAGGCCTGTTCGTCTTCCCAGTTTCTTGAGTATTTACTTGGGCCACGCGTATATCGTCGGCGACGTCTGGCTCGAGGCGGTGCATCCTCGTTCCTGATGTCGTAGCCGTAGGTCTGCAGCAGTTCTGCCCTGGATTTGGGTGCCTGCTCCGTGGCCTCAAAGCGATCGTGAGACCAGCGATCGCCGCCCGAAGCTGGCTGCCACTTCCGCATAGTTTTGGAGGCCTGTGAGATCTGTGGCGTTTGGCCACTGGGCGCGGCTCCAGCAGCCGTCAGTCCGTTAAGCTCGCCATTGGGCTCCGCCGGCGTCTGGCCAGCTCCGTTCTCAGTCTCGACCAGGACTTCACCCTCGTTCTCCGCCGTTCGGTCGTCATGCTCATAGAAAGTTCCTCGTTTAGGGATGTACTGAGGATTGCTTCGATCCTCGTCCACCTTTTTCTGGGCCTCGCTGTCAGCGACGGAGCGGTCCAGTGCCTGCTCCCCTTCACCGTCGTCCGACTCGCTGCCCACCTCGTCCTCATCGGTCTCCGATTCCTCATCCTCCTCGCTACCACCACTGGCACTCCCGCTGGCGCTCTCCTCGTCATCGTAATCCTCGCCGCCCTCCAGATCACTGGCCGTGTCGTACTCCGAATCATGAGGATGCGAATTGGAGTTTGGCTCCTGGGTGGGCGAGGTGCCCGGCTCCACATCCGCGATAGCGTCAGTTGTGGGCGATGTGGCTACCTCGCTGGCGACAGTAGGCGTGACCTGGGGGATGTCGGTCGGGGGCGTGGCCGCCTTTGGTTTCTCCACCTCGGCCATCGCGGGGTCTCTTCGATTTTCTGCCTCGCTGCTGCTGCTGCTTCTTCTGTGCAAATGGAATGGGATTGGAATTCTAGGTGTCACTGAGTTCGCTTCGCCATAGCGCCCCATCTAAGCTCACCTGCGAATCCGCGTCAGTGACTGACTCAGCTATCGAGTGTGCTTTTTGGAACGGTATATTTTGCAGACAATCTAAAATTTTCGCTGAGTTTTCTCGACAACAACGCAATCAGAAAATAGAAAGTCTAGGGTTACCTTTTACCTTTCTCTTCGCCGAAGTGTTGCAAAGTGCCACTGCATGAGTACGTCAGGGATGGGCGCGAAAGGGAACACGCTGTTCAGCACTAAACCTAAAGTTAGCGGTTAAAACACGGGATTCATGCAACCCATCTAAGCGAAAATCTTATTAGTTGTGCATTATCCTTGGAAAAGGAAAATAAAGAACGACAGTTCTAAATTTAATTTTTTTTTGCTTTTTCTGAATATTTTTTTCCCCAATTTAATCCAGACCATGGTATTCTGGCAACACTGGCGATACAATCGACGGTTTATCATCGCTGGCCAGCTGTTGGTGGAAAGAGAGAGGAAAGCGGAGTTCGAATAAAGCGACAGACGGTTAATTAATATCATTCGGAATCAGAATCAGACAAATAGCAAACTCCTCAGAACCGGAAAAGATGTCGAAGTTTCTGGGCGTGCCGCTGAAGAAGCCGTCGGAAGTAGATGTGGTCAAGCCGCTGAACAATCTTATCCAGAGCACCTACAATGGAGCAACGGAGGAGGAGAAGTCGAAATATGCAGAGGCCGTAAATGAGTTTTCGAAACAACGCAATACGGCAATTTGGAAATTCTTCGAGAAGTACGAGGCTTCACTTGAGATTGTTTATGCGTGAGTATTTTCCGGACCCTTTGTAGCCTTTTCTCGGGGATCTCCAGATGAGTCACCCGCAGAAAAGTCGGTGCTAATCACACCCATTCCACCTGGTGCTTCTGTATTTGTGCGGCGGTCAGACATAAACAACCTATCGGATGACGTAGTCGTTTACTAATGGGAATTATTCGCCTCCGGGTATTGTTTCCTCGCTTTCATTCGCAGCTATTATGACCAGATTTGTGCTCTGGAAACAAAAATATCTGTAAGCGAACTGCAGATACCCTTTAAATGGAAGGATGCTTTCGACAAGGGCTCCATTTTCGGCGGCAAAATCAGTCTAAGTGAGTGATTCATCCGTTGCCTAAAGAATTTCATCATTAAACTTGTAATCAATCTTTAACAGCACACACCTCCCTGCTATACGAGAAGGTATGTGTCCTGTTCAACATTGCCGCCTTGCAAAGCAGCATCGCTGCGAACCAGCCGTTGGATTCGGATGAGGGCCTCAAACTGGCCATCAAGCTGCTGCAACAAAGCGCGGGCATCTTCCAGTATCTAAAGGGAGCCACGCCGGCGGCGGTGCCATCAGAGCCCACGCCCGACCTCAGCCAGGATACTCTCACCGTACTCCAAGCTTTGATGGTCGCCCAGGCTCAAGAGGTGTTCATCCTAAAGGCCATTAAAGGTAGGTAGAAAGTAATCACAATATCAAAAATCAAAACCACAAAATGACAGCCTTATCTGTGTGCTAATTTCCCTTATTTACATTTGGCGATAAAACTATTTTATCATCTTTATAGAAGTCATTGTTATATGCACAGATATTTTAAAACATAACAATTTTAATTTTGATAGGCCCCGCAACCATAAATGGCCTATAAATGTTTTATGAAAAGGCTATTTCAAGAGTTTATTTACCTTTTCACTTCCTATATTTGTTACTTGATAACGAATCTTGGCATGATTCATAAATGCAAGTGAAAGATAACATTTCAATCACAAAGCCAGTTCATTTTAATAAATTTAAAACATGATGATGTTATTCTACATAAATCTGGCGCATAACCATAATGTGTATCTCTTACAGACAACATGAAGGACCAGATCATCGCGAAGCTGTGTTGTCAGGCGGAGGAGTTCTATGCTGATGTTCTCCGTGCCATGCAAAAGGAGTCGGTGCGCAGTTTGTGGGAGAAGGAGTGGATACCCACTGTGGCTGGAAAGCAGGCCGGTTTCCATGCCCTCACCCAGTTGTACCAGAGTCTCGTATGCCGCGCCTCCAAGAAAATCGGCGAGGAAATCTCACGCTTGCGAAATGCCATTGATCTTTTCAAGGCGGCTCAGTCGCGTGGCGGAAACGAAACCTATTTGGACGAATACTTTAGCCGCGCCAAACGCAATCTGGCTGAGTCCACCAAGGACAACGAGTTCATCTACAACGAAATTATTCCCGATATAAGTACTTTGGCTTCCCCAGGCAAAGCTCAGTTGGCTAAACCTCTACCCATCGGTGTGCCAATGGCGGCAAACTTTAAGGACATCTTCACCAGCCTGGTGCCCGTTGAGCTGCATCGCGCTTTGACTGCCTCCGATATGCGTCGCAACGAGATCGTGAATGTGGAAATTATGAAGCTGCGTGAATCCACGCAGACCTTGAACGCCGTGCTGGCCAGTTTGAATTTACCTGCTGCTGTGGAAACAGCTGATGGCAACAGTGGACTTCCACCGTCTCTTAAAGATAAGGCCACTGAGGTTCGTCAAAAGGGCGGGATTGAAAACATTCAGTCTTTGCTCAAGGATCTTCCTGAGCTACTGAGCCGCAACCGCGAGATTTTAGACGAGACCGAGCGTTTGTTGGACGAAGAAAGAGATTCTGATAACCAGTTAAGGGCACAGTTCAAGGAGCGCTGGACTCGCCTTGGATCCGATAAGTTGACGGAGGTGTTCCGAACAAACGCGAAGAAGTACCGCGAGGTCATCACCAATGCCATCGAAGCCGACAAAGTGGTTCGTCAAAAGTTCGAGGCCAATCAGAAGGGCATCCAACTGTTGTCCTTGCCTCCCGATCAAATCCAGCAATCCCTTCCCTCGGCCAGCGGCAGTGTGGATCCCAATTGCTCCAGCGTGCAGCGCCTTAAGAAACTGATGGACGATGTGGAGACCATCAAGGCAGAACGCGAGGCCATCGAGTCGGAGCTGAAGGGAGCCACGTTTGACATGAAGGACGAGTTCTTGATCGCTCTGCAGAAGGATGGGGCTATCGATGAGCCTGCCCTATCGTTGGCTCGAATTGGCCAGGTGCTCAATCCCCTGCAGCAGCAGGTGCGTGAAAGTGTTGGCCGTCAGCAGTCTTTGGTTGCCGATATTCAGAGCGCCCACGGTGACTTTGTCTCCGAGACGGGAAGCTGCGGCAGTTCGCGGGACACTTTGTACCAGGAACTGGCCACCGCTTACGATAGCTACATAGAGCTTACCGGAAACCTACAGGAGGGCACCAAGTTCTACAACGACCTCACCCAGTTGCTGGTCGTGTTCCAGAACAAGATCAGCGACTTTGTGTTCGCCCGAAAAACGGAGAAGGAGGAGTTGCTCAAGGATCTGACCACAGAGTCCAGTCGCCAGGCTTGTCCCGCCACTCCGGCACTGCCCTCGCACTTTGCCTCCACTTCGGGTAGTGGCAGCGGTAGGAGAAGTCATATAACTTATGTAAAAACTTATTGCAAACAGTCGGTTTTTCCCCGTATAGATATTACACCTGGCTCCGCACCCAGTGTGCAGCCAGCGGCACCGGCGGCCAACATTCCGTATCCGGCCCAGGTGCATGGTATGCCAGTTCCCTACGGAGCCCAGCCCGGTATGCCCTATCCAGCCTACGTGCCCGCGCCCATGCCGCAGAGCTTTAATCCGTACGCCACCTTGCCGTATCCTGGCAGTAAGTTTTACGCCACAACTTCCCTTATGTACTTCCAACTAATGCTTAAAACTCTCCTGCAGATTATCAGTACCAGGGGTTCCCGCAGGGACCTCCACCCGGTCACTATGGCACCTATCCCGGCAGCTATGCTAACCAGCAGGGCGGCTATCCCAACCAGAAGCCACCGGGCTGGTAAACGACCCACTAGCCTAGCAAGTTCATGTCCACATGTGCACAGCATGTTCCGCCCAAGGGTCAATCGCATGGCAGAGCCTCAGATGAGTCTGGATGGTGGAGAGGCGAGATGGATGGTATTCGGCATTTAATGCTCCGTGTTCTGGTTCTGTTTAGAAATTGTATCATACATGTTGATGGCTTATTGGATTTTAATCTCATATATGCAACAATATTATCACGTATCACAGTAAACAAAGTTCTGTCTCTAAAATTATGTTGTGTTACTTTGTCGCAGTCTTCGGAAGAACTCCCGCTTCATTCCGGCAATCACCCGCGGAGCACACATGCTGCTCACTAAGAGTTCCCAGGTGGAGCTAATGGGAGTTGGTTCTAAGGGAGTGCTAGCAGTCTGGAACCTTTTGGAGTTGTTCTGCAACAGAAGCTTGTACTCCTCTGGGGGCATCACCTTCAAGGGACGCACAGAGTGGCTAATGCTTATCAGTAGGCTTTCACAATTCTTTTGGCTAATGTAATCGGTTTCCCAAAGCTTTCGATTGCTCTGCCCGCTCTCCATATTCTGCACTGCCGCCTCAAACTGAGCAAAAAGTTCGCTGGGTTTGTCTGAGATGTCATTCAGTTGATTGGGATTGAGCAAATACTGCTTCATCTCATCGTTTTCACCTTTGACAAAGCTCTCGACGATGTGTTTGACCAGGAACTCGTCCAGAGCCAGATCCATGTCCACCTTGAGCGGCACCCAATAGTTAACACTCAGCGATGTGGACATGGCCTCTACGTAGTGCCACCAGTGACGAGGAACTACCAGCACATCGCCGGCCTGCAGATTGCAATGGTAGGCCTCTCGGCCAAGTTCTTCATAGTGCTGCATCTTCTCCGGATCCGGCGCATAAAAGTTATCCAGGCAGTACACACTGGACTCCTCGTATGGAACTCTAGTGCTCTGTAAAGGTGTTTCCGGAGGGAAAAGCAGCCAGGACTTGCAGCCGAAAACTTGCACTACGATGTTGACGCCAAAGGTGTCATAATGACATGGCGTGTTGGCTTGCTCCGATCCCAGCCAGAGGCTAAAGTCATTGCCGTGCTCCGGAAAGCCGAAGCAGGAGAAATCGATGCCCTTTAAGCAACTGGCAGGAATTTCGTGGGCTCTCTTGTACTGGTAAGCCGCCCAGTGTGTGTGATCTTCCTCTAGGACGCCATATTCCCGCAAAAACTGTTGCATGCTAAGATGGGTGGCTCTCGTTCTCTTTCGCTCCCATTGCGGTGTCCTGGTGTCCGCTAAGGACATCAGCTCAAAGGTCGGCGGGTCGCTGGCCTCATGATCAAACCAGTCACACCAATCGTGCAGCGAACCATCAAAGCACTCCCATTCCAGCGGGAACTGTTCAAGGATCAGAGGTACACGGGTGTTCAGGATGAGATCCCTCAACTTGGAGCTATGTGCCATGTGTTTTATGTTTATTTTTCAATGATGCTTGCGACAGTGTGGCTGATACCCAACCCATAATAAAATAACCTTTGTTATGCTCCGGTCACTTTGGTTTACAATAGTGTCTTGGCGGGAATTTTAAGTTTTGTAGATGAACATTTTTTATAAATTTATAAACAATTTAAAAAATATAAGAGTGACAGTGATAATGACATGAAATGCCAAATGCTGATTTGGGTCTCTTTTTGCGATTCATGGAAAACTAGGAAAAATCTGACATGAACAGGGGTCAAAAATGGACCATCACCGATCTGAAAAATTCATCACAAATTTATAAAGGTAATGTTACTGTGATCTGATAAAAATTTTTGGAGTTCTGGAAGCTGATTTGACAAAGTTATGCGCTATAAAAATTCCATCTCGGGTCGAAATGAATTGATCGATTTAACTTTTACAGTTTCTTTAATAGCTCTGTCAATTTGCGCCTGCTCTTGATTCCAGTTGTTAATGTCTGGAGTGCAATGCAAATACGATTAGGCGAAATGTTTGCTTAATTAGTAAGAATTTCGAATTACATAATTGCAATCAAGATTGCGTGAATAACTTGTTCTGCAGATCGAGTTGTCCAGTAGTTGCAGATAGCCCGCCAAACTGCCGCGCACGCAAACGAGAGTCGTAGATCGTGTTCCAGATCGGTTTGGCTTGGTTTGGGTTGGTCTGCACTGTATTGGGTTGAGTTGTGTTGAGTTTGGACTAGGACTCTCGGCTCGACCAACACTTTGAGATAATTATTCTGATATGACAGGCGGAAATGGCGTTAACAAGTGGCAACGACTGCGACAGCGATAGCCCGGCATTTGTTGCACATTGGCCAAAACGAATGTTATCCGACATTTGATTGCCAGAACGGTTATCTGCAAAGCCTCCCATGTTCCCTGATGACGGCCATAAAAAATCAATGGGAGTCCAGTCCTCAAATCTCGGCGGCAGTTGAAGGCATTTGTCATAAAAGTGATTTACGTCTCATTCGCCTGGCTCTTTGCCAGCGAAACTACAAGTCATTAAATCTACTTAAGCCGCGCGCACTCAATATGCCACGGATACGGGTGAAAAGTTCAACGCTCGTGAGTCAGCAGCCTTAGAATCGGGAAGACATAAGCTGCAAAAACAATTATGCGCCAGAGTCGCCAAAAAAAAAAGCAACCAAGCAAAAATACAAACGAGAAAAGCGAAATTAAGAAGGAAGAACATACAACATTATTTATGCGGCAGTTTGGAGGTGCGCCGTCTGTCTGCCCGATTTTTTGTCATTATGGGGCTGTTACTTATGGCGACTTGGCGCTGTCTTATAAATATGTATCTGAATCTCTCTGTCTGCGGCATTATCTGCCGAATGAGAAACTGCGCATGCGCACGCTCCCGCTTCCGTTTGGCGGCCCAATCTTCAATCTTCCCATAGGGTTTAGTCAGAACACGCCCGGACTATAGCTTCTTATATAATTAGCTCGATTTTTGTTGGGTTCTTTTTTCGTTTTTTTTAAGAGTGTTCCGCTGCCTGGGCAACCAAAGAACTTGGCTTGTGTCGCTGTCGTGACAGCAGCCAAATTCGCCAGACACTCACCTTTTCCCATTCCACCGACTCGAAATTTACCTTTGTCCAAGTCAATAAACTCGCAGCAGACAGTTCCGCCCCCTTTTGGCTCTTTGTCTGACTGCCAGTCACCTGAAGGGATTCGCATTTAAAAATCAGTCAATATTTATTTATCAAAACAAAATCGTTCATGCACTTAAACCTAGCTTGATTATGCCATAATTTATTGCTTGCCGTAGTTGCTTAGCTAAATGCAGTTTGGGCTGGTCTTTCGGAGGACGTCCTTTATAGGTTTTAGTTTTCCGATCGAACCGATATGTCTTGTAGTCAATTCAAAATACTTTAAAGTTGGGTGTCATTTAATAACGCCCAAGAAAATATATAGTTCTTCTTTAGGATTTGATTTGTCAAGACGAATAAAAACTTTCTAAGGGATCATAGAGAGCTTTAGCTGTACTTGAAAAATATTTTGATCTGACTGAGATAAGAATTTTTAATACGTTAAACTAAAAATAAACTGACCCCTTCTGTGCTGATATGGTTGACCATTGATTGATGTTGGCTACTCCCTCCTTGGACCAGCCCATCTGTTATTGTATTCATTGCCGTTTTATAAAAATAGACTTTGCCGCTCACAACTGTTGGACAGTTGGCGAAGAGCTCAGATGTAGTCGGAAAAGGATTCCAAGCTGGAAACTGGACGGAAGAGGGGAAGTCCCCTTGCTAGAAGGATTGAAAACAGAACGCCCGGCACCGCAGTCTTTTGAGGGTATTTAAGGGGCTAAGTACAACCGTATTACGATATGATGTTCTGGTAGAACTGCGGCTTGCTCTGGTGCTCCTTGATGACGTAGAAGCCCTTCGGCTTCCCGTTCCCGGCGAAGTACTTGTGGAAACTCTGCTTGCTGACCGCCTGGGAGGGTGCGTAGTATGTGGGTGACTTGGGCTTCAAGGACTTCCGGTACTTGGCCTTTCCCCCGCCGGCACTGAAGCTCTTCTCGATTGTCTCGTTTTCCCAGGGCTGGCGCCACGTGGGCACACTCTGGATGTCCAACAGCCGGTTGCGGTCCGCCGCCGAGACATGGGCGAAGTGGGGCTTCTTGGCGAGAGCCTCCTTGAGGACGGGCAGGTTCCAGTGGTAGATGCGACCGGGGCGACCGTTCGAGCTGAAGGGAAACGAGACCTGCAATTGAAAGCGCACTGATTAGACAACATTACCCGTAGACCGCGACTGGCGTCCCATAAATCAGCCGTGCTCTGGCGTCTAAATCAGGAATACCAGGCGTACGCAGGCCCACTTCATCTAGCGGGCCCACTGCAGCGGGCTAAAAACAAATTGCATTTTTAATTGAAGCTCGGACTTGGTTAATGGCCTGCATATTAATTTCTGGTTCAGTCGTGAGAGCGTAATAATTTTCGTGCCAGTGCCTGTCCGACATCCACTGACATTGACACTTGCCGCATTAATTCAGCGCCTCGGCTTCACAAAGGCCATGTATTACAGCCAGGAATGCTGTATGTTATTGGGTTCATGGATCTCTCTGGACTTCCAGATACCCACTGCCTTCGCTGACCCTACAGAAGAAGCTATTTATAGTGCAGCCAGCCGGGCCCAATATACCCATTTCGGGGCATTGGGGGTAACACGCATAAAAATAGCAAGCTGCAACCGGCAGCCAAGTGGCATGTTCTGTTGGCCAAGTCTGTTGCCAAGTCTGCTCTGCCATCGAACCAAATGGGTAATCCATTTCGCTTCCACTTCCACTTCGTCTTGGGTGCTTCTCTGGATTCTCTGGATTCAGTGGATGTTGAGTCTTCTGACTGTTTTGCAATTTGTTTTATGCGCATGCGCGGCGATGTTTATCGCGGTCTAGGTCCAAACCTGGCCAGATCGCTAGACTTGGATGAGAGCCAGTTTGAGCAGCCATGGCCAGAAGGGGCCGTCGCCGACCATTGTGTGTGTCTATGGTGTAACCTAATGGAATCCCGTTTACCTTTTTCCCGTTAGCTTTCAACGCCGACGCCTCAGAAAGCGATGTTGTTGCTGCTGCTGCTGCTGCGGCTGCTGCTGAAATGCTTGATGTTGCTCGTGCGTCCGCCGATGTTGCTGCCACTGTCATCTTGTTGGGTGCGTTAGTGTTGCTCTTGCCACCACCCGACTTGTCCCTGTGATCCCCGAGGGAATTCTTCGCAGCGGGTCCTGCATAGTAGTGCATATTTGGCGGCAATTTGATGATGAACATGTGTGAATCATCGCGCGAGGAATGGCGTCGTGACTCAACCGCCAAACGCTTCCTGTTGTGGCTGTTGGGCGCCTTCACCTTCATGAAGCCCATTTGGCTGCAACGACCGAAAAGAGTTTGTTTTTGATGGTATTCGCCAGAGGGGGAAATTCTGTTCTGTTCTGTTCTGTTCTGCCGGACAGAGTGTCTGGCGAACGTAGTAAGCGTTTTCCATAAATATTTCATTACATAATTTATGGGTGGCTGAGTTGCACCAGACACGGGACTTTAATTAAACCCAAAATGGGAGGTCTGTACTTAGCTCGCCTGTCTTGTTCGGCAGTGAGAAAAATATAGCCTTAATCGCCGGGTATTATTCAAATTCCCAAAGAAGCGTAACTACTTGTCACACGTCCAAGAGTTACCTATACAGTTTTTTACGTCCCTATGATTACTTAATAAGACAGCTTAATTACGACAGTGAGTTATGGCTTAATTTTAGTTAGAACATACGCGCACTGAGAGCGAAGTGTTACAGCTTACAAAGATAATGGAAATAAATATACTTCATAGAAAATACATTAAAAATTATAAGTGGCTTTTATGATGAAATGTTTACTTTGGCACCGTAATGCTAAGAGGAGAATTAAATGATGAGCATATAAATAATAAGTACAAGGGGAGTATGGGCTATTCTTTTTATGGAAGCTATTAAAAAACACGAAGTGATTACAGGATATTTCTTTTAAAACTAGTGATTTATGGTTCTGTTTTTCGCCAGTGTGCCAACTCACCTGAGCAGCTTCTTGTTGAGTCCGTGAGCGCTTCTGGCCAGTTGTTTGGGCTGTTTGATGGCCGTCAGAGGACCCGCTCCCGTTCCTGTTCCCGCTGCCGCTGCCGCTGCCACTCCCGATCCCGATCGTCTGTCCAGCCTCTTGGTCTTGTGCATGTGGACCACATCCTTGGCCAAAACTGGCACTGTTGCCGCTCCTGAATTACTAACTCCATGTGCCATCGCAACCAGGCAGAGGAGGCAGTAGAACCTGCGGAGTCGAAACAGCTTTTATGGCCTTCGTTTTTATGCCCTAGGATTGCTCGTTTTATATGCGAAATTCTGTAAGGGATTAGGCTGCCTGCGGTTTTTGATTGGACCCCAGGTCCAAGGGTTCAGGTTCAGGGTCATTTTGGCGGCACTCGCTTTGACAGGTGAGATGGCCCGAGGTCTTCATTTCAAGCCGGTTCCGTTCCGTTTTTTATTCTCCATTTGGGCTGGGGGGGTCCCAACTTTAAATAGATGTTTTAACCCCCTGTGAAACTGAAACCACTACTCGCTGTTGCTCGAGTGTCAAGTAATAATAAGGAAGAAAGCGGAAAACAAAGCAGATAAAAATGCAAATAGGCACGTACAATTACAGGGAAAAGCGGCAAAGGGGGAAGGGGGGCAAGTGCGGATATCAAACGTTCTGGAGCTGGGAAACTCTAGAGGCATGGGAGCATTAGAGCCAGCAACATGCATCCATCTCCCAGGGGGTGTTGCAATCACCGATACCTTGCCTTTTAAATGCCACATTTTGCGATTATATTGCTGGACTTTCAGCAGGTCTTAAGGTCTTCCATCTAAGCTCCTTCTCCTCGTCGACTTTGTCAAGCGAAATGCTATTGACCGACTAAGCGGTGGGGTTCCACATATCCACAAGATACAGTACTATTTCTATTGCAGCCCGTTGGCGGTCTTGCGCTCGTTACAAATTATCATGGAAATTGGCTGGGCTTTATGCAATAAATGTAACCGAAGGCCAGCCGACGTGCCCGGCATTCTGAGCCGAGTCTCGGCCCCCAAGCTGCCGAACATATAATGCATGCAAAAATAAACTAAAACCGAAAAAAAAAAACAAGAATGAAGAACCTTAGAAGCCGAAGAAGCTGCATAAATTTCGAGTGGAAGACAGCGAGGAAACTGTGCCTCCAGGCGGGATTAGAGGCCAGTCAGGAGCTGATGGACTTGGACTGGAGTGGGAGCCCAATCGATTTTGTGGATTGCAAGCAAATCCATGGGAGCCCAATGGCAAGCGCCCAAATCAACACGTACTTAGCAGTGGCCACCACATGCTGCCATCGTCTGCAGTTGGGGCACCCAAACCGTATCCCATGCTTGTGTCCATGCCACATCCTCATCCTCATCCTCGTCCTCGTCCACATCCCGATTCCGATTCGAAGCAAGGCAAACAAACACCCCGGGCGGGTTGCTCCCACTCCCTTTGTGTCCTCTGTGTCTGCGCTGTGGTTTTTGTGGCCATTTTCATGTTAACTCGGTATTGATAAATTGCAGAATAAGTGAATGCATTTTTGTTTCTCCCTTTTTTTTTTTTATTTGTAGCCGCCGCTGCTGTTGTCCTCGTCCTGGGCCCCAACATATGCGGCATTTTTGAATTATTAATGAATTACCAGCACAAAGGAGCCCGCAGCCATACAACCCATGCAACAGCAGCAACACGAGGTTGCGTGTTCCTTCGAGACAATGTATCGCAAAGGGTTTCGTGTGAAAATTCGGGAAAAACGAGAACATCACAACACCTTTGAAAATATGAACGCACAGATATATAAATCAGTTTATCTCTTAGGAATATTAGCACTGTTTGAACGGCTTGTCAAAATTATAAGTTGTATAATAGTTGTGAACAGAAGAGGATCAGTTGAAAAAACATTAAAATGTTCGTTGATCTTAAGAAATTACTGAAGACTTGCAGTATGATTCCCGCGGGTGAAGTTATTCGTCGCCACAAGAGATTTAAGTGCGGGAAAGCAAGGTGAGTCCAGTTTTAGGGTTTAGGTTCATTGGTAATTAATCAATATTAACCCCGAAGTTACGTGGTTCACTACGAGCTGCAAAATGGGGAGCTGCACATCTCTCACATGAGGAAAATTCGACGAACTCCCACTTTGAGAAGCCAATTGCAAAAGCGTCTACTTTGTGTGAAGCGAAGGTTGAGTAGTGGGAAAGGACTTGGACCTAAACCATCAGTAACCTGCGAGGATAAAACTACTCAGACCTTCCTGAACAAAGACGTTACCTCAAAAATAGAGATGAAGTTGGAGAGCACCGCAAGTCAAACGGAGGAACAGGAATTTATTGATTTCAAACCACAAGTGAAATGTGTGGATGGTTTCACTCAAGCCACGCTGTTCAATAAGGGTTCCACTGTGATGGTGGAAAATTCCTCCAGTCAAACGCCTCATCTGGAGTGGAGCAGCTGCCAGGTGGACACTTCCGATTTATTAGAAACCATTCCCAAGGATCAGTTGATTTACAAACCCATCCAGCAAACTTCAACGATAGCAGTGGGAACAGAAGTAAAACTAAAAAACACATCCAGTCAAACCAAACACCAGGAATGGATCAGCACCCAGGTGGACACCTCCGACTTGATCCTGACCCATTCCCGGGATCAGCAGACATTGAATCCTGGCCAGCAATCGTTGAGCAGCCAGACAGAACAGCAGATCTTCAAAAATTGCTCCACTCAAGCGGAGGTTAATGCCAAATGTAGAGCCACACAGACCAAACTCGTTAGGAACTGTCTGGGCACCCAAACGGGTGTTTACTGTAGCAGTGCGGTGGTTCAAACCGATACAGACTGTCAGCACTCGAACACTCAGACTTGCGACGACGAGGAGGAGCTCATCAAGCCCCATCTCAATGCTTTGTATCTCATCTACGATTCCATCAAGAACCAGAGCGAACTCATTCACAACGAAGTTCTGGATGCTGTTAACCAACTGACTGATTTGACTCTTCTCTCGGTAAAGAACAAGTGCCTGAAGGAGGATTTGCCCCGAGAGGCGACATTGGAACCACTGACTCCTTGCGCAGAAAACCAATTCGGGGATAACTTGCCGAAGGAAAAACTCTTATCCGAAGCGGAGCTCAAGAAAGTTCTATTGAAGTACGGGACTAATAGGTATGAAATAAAAGTAGAAAAAATTGAACCCCATTTTGATTTTGAACCAGCTCGTTTTTCTTGACTCACAGATTTTTTCAACGAAAGAACAAATTACAGAATTAATCAATTGGCCGTAACAAAAAATAAAACGAAAATGCCCAGCTGTATTCATCTCATTTTAGTAGTTTTACATACGTCACAATCATTTACCTAAGGCCAACTTTACATACAAGCACAGAAATTAGGAAAACTAATTAAAGTTTGGAATTTTGCAACAATGTATGTTAGGAATTCCATTATTGCAGTTTCCTGTTTCCCACGCCCAATATGCAATTTATTTATTTTGTAAAGACATTTCGTGAAATTTTTAATAGGCTTGTGGTCTTGAGGCGAGCACATTTTAAAGAAGAGAAACAGCCTCGTAGACGTTTTTCTTGTGGGACACCTTTGGTGGAACTTTGCCAGACAAATAACAATAAAATGTCTCATCCTAGCTGATTTAGCACCCAACTAAAAGCCCTGCCTCTCCGTCCGCAGAGTCAGCAAATGCAAGAGGCTTCTGGCCGGTCCCTCGTGGAACTGTACGCTGAAGTGCAAGCGCTGTGGTCTCCACATGCACCGCAGCAGGAACCTATTGGCCAGCGGGTAGGTGACTCAGACGTCCAGCCACAGACTGCCCAGTTCACAAGGTCCCCATTTCCCCCTTAGAAACCAAGGAACCCAGACCGAAGAGGAGGAAGCGAAGGATACGGTGGCCAGGGAAGAGGTGGCCACGCAGACGGTGAAGGATCGGGTCCGCTGGACTCTGAAACGCAGCTAAGGAGCCCCAATCGCCCCAGACCTTCGAACTTACCCCAGCAGCCAGGCTGCCGTTCTCATCCAAGTGGCACTCATATTAAAGAACTTTTGTTTTGTGGTTGGCACTTATTGGATGTGATTTAAAGTAAATGTAACCGAATCAAAGTCTCAGAGTCTTTTCGTTGTGGCGCCAAACGCTGAAAAACTGCATCTAAAATTCGCGTGAGTAACGAGCGGGGTTTGAGTTTCGGTCTCGGAATTTGCTATTCGGATTCAAGTTCGCAAGTCAGCCGCAAACACGTCCGCACACGATAAAATCTCGCCAAAGACTGAATGAAGCGGGCCGGTCGTCGTTGTCGTTTGTGCCACAGAACAGAAACCACCGAGTGGGTCCGGGTATTTCAGCTTACTAACCGCATTGGATTGACCCTACTTTCCTTCCAATCACTCGGGTTCTCGGAAAGAAACCTCATCCGAAAAGCCATTAGGAATTCTTTTGGAAATTGGTATGCAAATAAGTATTACTACTACTAAAACTAGACTTATTTGTAAAACACTCTTGGTTAATTTTAAGGAATAAAACATTTCCCTTACAATATTTGCTGAATTAATTAGAAATCGATTAGTCATAAAAAGTAGTAATAATAGTAGTAGTAGTAAATCGTTAAGATAAATGTCCTTCATGGCTTGTGTAAAAATCAACAGCAGCTTTGTAAAACTGTATCATTTTTTCCTTACACACAGCTGATGTCGACACAATTTTAGCCGAATGAAATAAAATCCACATATTATTTATATAATTTTTTGCGTTGTACTTAAAGGGTATTTAGATTGCAACATCTTTAAAACAAGTCACTTTTCTTTCTTCTCTGTCTTTGGTTATTCGTGGAGTGGCTTCGACTTCGAGTTTAGAGTTCGGCTTTTTGTTTACGTTCCCGTTCCCCATTCCCCAATCCCCAGCCCGCTGCCCCTTTCCAATTCTTACCCATTTTTCCGACGGTATGCAAAAAGCAACAAACAACAATAACAAAAGTCACGCTTAACGACTGTGACGTCGTCGCGACTTGGCCAGGTTTTTTTAGCCCCTGCCGCCACTTCTGGCACTTCGGCCAGCAATGTTCCAGCATTGCTTTGTATGGACTGTGTCCAGTCTGCAGATCGGGACCGGCTTCTAAAAGCCAGGCCAAATAATAAACATGCAAGTGCCGCATGGCGTGGCATAGAAAAGAGTAAAGAGTGGCAGCCGAAAAGTCGAGAGTCGGGGTGTGAACGCCGAGACATCTGTGACATCCCAGGAAACTTGGCTCAAATCCAAGCCGGTAGCCTGGCCCGCTGATTGATTACCAGGACGGTCCATGGCCATGGGAAACGCCCCCTTTTCGGCATGAAAAGGGGTTGCAGTTTAATTGAGATTTATTTATGGTATGTGCGCGGCGAAAGACAAAAGAACCCGCTCTGCCCAGCCCATCGGCCAACCCAGGTCAGGTTCCCATCAGGAGGCACTTCCATAATAACGAGCAAACAATGCGCCGTGTTCCCGGGGATCCGGAGATCCGGGGATCCGGGGATCTGGCAATATTTGGACAGCGGGCAATCGAGGAACTCCAATTGTGTGGCTGCTGCTGCAACGGTTCGGGTTGAAAATTGGGCGGACGCCGCCTGCTTGTTATTGTCAATTGTTGGCTATGAGTGGCATTGGTTTTGGCTCTTTTGCCTTATTTTTGTTTTTGGCCTCGGTAGTGCCACTGGCAGCCTTTGTTGGACAAGTTAACAGATTGCAATTGCAGTCCCAGGTGGGGAGTGTGCATGAGTGTGCGTTTGCCTGCCTCTGTGTGGGTGACATTCTAACTGTCTGAATCTGGCCCGGAATTTGCGGCCATTCTCAACCCATATACTCGCCATTGATTTCTGGTTGGGGGCTAAGTGGCATGTTGCGGTCCACTCATACAGCAATTTTGGGCCATTTCACTTCAACTGGTGCACACAAAAAATAAAGCACCTCAACTTCATAAGACTTTCATGCTTTCTGATGGATGAAAATAATAAAGAAAGGAGTCCTCAAGTAAGGAATCCGATTATAAGTAAATGCAACAAGATTCTCATTATGAGCTGTATACATTTATTTTTTCTAAGTGGACTATACAAGATATCGAATACAGGGTAGTAGTGATAAGCAAGTAATTACCATTAAAATACCAATTGAACTGAATTTGAAAGTAATCCAAGAATTGTTTTCTCTGCAAACCTAATATCAAAGTGAACGCCCACCTTGAGCTGAGCTCGTTAAGCCCAATTAGGCATTCGGAATTTCTGGCTGGTCAGCTCGTTCTAAAGCGGAGCACAACTTTCACTTTAACCGCGAACAATGGCTACAAATTCGCAGACATGAACTTACATAAACTGGACAAAAACCACAACAAAATGGCGCAGACAGCGAGCAACAAAAGCAGCAGCAAAATGGCGTCTGCTTCCTTCCGGTCCACCGCCGAATGATTGAGTTGTGAAAAAGAAAAACGAGACACACACACACACACGCAAACACCCGAAAAAGAATCGAAGAAAAATGGAAGAGGGAAACTTTCGTTTCAACTTTAACTGGGCACGGCATCCTGGCCTCTTGGCCGTAAACCACCTTCCATAAAGCTGCCATAAAAAAGTGTGCTGAGAGGCAATCATTTCCGAGAAGTACCTGGTGCACCACGTACTTGCAAATTTCCGCAAGCGGCCGCCAATGATTAATGTAAATAAACGCTGCCCGATGGAAAAGCGCTGGAGTCATTCAAGAAAGCAGCTAGCCGTTTGCCAATTCTGTAGATCCAACCATGTGGGTCGTGAACCCGCCCGTTCGTCGGCCACAAAGAATCGAGGACAGCTCCGATCCACAAGCGTCGTGTGGGTGCACAGGTTCAAGTGGTGCGATGGTGCTGGTGGATCTGGCGGCGCTGATGGTCAGGTGCCTCGTTGGATAACCTCGATAAGTTGAAAATTGCCGGTATACATATAGATGCTGCAATTACGGCCGCCATGAGGCAGCAATTTGGTGTGAGCGAAAATCGGCCACGCCTACCGGCCACGATAATTAGCTGGGCGATCTAATGAGGAATTCGAAAGTGGCAACGCCTGCACCTTGGGATATGACAACAGTTTTTCTTCCTATTTTTTTTACTTACCATTTTTTTTTTACGTTTTTTTTCAGCTTTTTGTTAGCTATGCCAGGCATGTTCAGCAATTTCTCCGCTCGTTCAAACGGCGGCGGCATTTGCCTATGGCTTTATATGCCACGTCACTCCCGCCGCACATGCGCATTGCTCAGCCAGTGTGACAGGTGAGCCAGGGAAAACCTTTTGGCTTGGGAAACCTGGGAGCACGCGATCCAATCCGATCCGATCCAAAAGTAATGGAATGCTCAGCGCAAGGGTCATTGTCATCGCATGCAGACCGAGGTATCCAGTTGGCGGGCTGTAATTCAATTACTGCTGTCTGCATTCTCGGCCCCACACAGCGTCACCAAGTGCAGATATTCCCATTCAGGCGCAATTTAGCTAACGGCGGTTCTGCATTTAAGCCATATTTGGCTGGATCCGGTAAACGCTCTCCGTCGCCTTGATTGACAGCCGCAAGAAATCGAGGAAATTGAGGTGTTGACAGCGTGTCAACCGAAAAGGATCTGGCGAGTCCAAATAAAACTCGGGGGTCCACTTGATCGGCTATCGAACTTAGTCCCCAGCAACCAAGAGAGTTTCATTTCAAAATCATAAGCATTGCATTTGAACGTTTGCTGTTTTTTACACACATTCTTTCTAATAGCTTTATATTTTGTGAGCGTGCTTTTAAGCAAATAAGATCCCTTAGCTCAATAAAAAATAGTATTACGCTCCCTTTCCGAGAAATGCCTTAGCTATTGCTTTAAAAACATGCAGTTGTACGTGTTTTGCCAGATATTCGAGTACGTTGTTATTTTCTATCATAATGGTAGTGAATAGTTTTTATAGTAAGTATACGAAGTACATTATGTTTTGATGAACGAAACTAAAAAATTTGCAACAGCTTATCTAATTTTTAATTTTTATTGGTTTATATAGATAACGACAATTACTACCATTTTTAAACAAACGCGCCAAATCATGTTCTAAAAAAATACTAAAAATACCAAGTACATTTTTTAGGCCAAATTTGATATTGGTATTATTGAACAGTCCGGCGACGGTCACACTACAAGCCAATTTGGAAAATCTAAGCGAAAATTTTAGAAAAAATAGTGTTTGTGTATTGAAAAGCCTCAGAATTGGTGTGAAAATGACGTCGCTGGACCCGGCGCCGAACAAAACGTGGGAGCTGTCGCTGTACGAGCTGCAGCGCAAGCCGCAGGAGGTGATCACAGACAGCACGGAGATTGCGGTGTCTCCGCGGAGTCTCCACAGCGAACTGATGTGTCCCATTTGCCTGGACATGTTGAAGAAAACGATGACCACGAAGGAGTGCCTGCATCGCTTCTGCTCCGACTGCATTGTTACCGCATTGCGGTCTGGAAACAAGGAGTGCCCCACATGCCGAAAGAAGCTGGTCTCCAAGCGCTCCCTGCGCGCTGATCCCAACTTTGACCTGCTCATCTCAAAGATCTATCCAAGTCGCGAGGAGTATGAAGCCATCCAGGAGAAGGTGATGGCCAAGTTCAACCAGACGCAGTCGCAACAAGCGCTGGTTAACTCCATCAACGAGGGCATCAAGCTGCAGTCCCAGAACCGGCCACAAAGATTCCGCACAAAGGGTGGCGGCGGCGGCGGTGGAGGTGGCAATGGTAATGTTGCTAACACTGGTGGTAGTGTGGCGGCTCCTCCTGCTCCTGGTGCGCCCGCTGCTGTGGCCCGGAATGCTTCAAACCAACTGCATGTCCACGACACAGCCTCTAATGATAGCAACAGCAATACCAACAGCATCGACCGCGAAAACCGCGATCCCGGACACTCGGGAACCTCTGCGGCCTCGGCTGTTACGAGTGCCTCAAATGCAGCGCCCTCCTCGTCGGCCAACTCGGGTGCCAGCACTTCCGCCACCCGGATGCAGGTGGACGACGCCTCCAATCCGCCCTCGATGAGGAGCACACCCTCACCGGTGCCGTCCAACTCGAGCAGCACCAAGCCAAAGCGCGCCATGTCCGTGCTGACCTCGGAGCGGTCCGAGGAGTCCGAGTCCGACTCGCAGATGGACTGCCGCACTGAGGGCGACTCCAACATCGACACCGAGGGCGAGGGTAATGGCGAGCTTGGCATCAATGATGAAATTGAGTTGGTGTTCAAGCCACATCCAACTGAGATGTCCGCGGATAACCAATTAATAAGGGCGCTTAAGGAGAACTGTGTGCGCTACATCAAAACCACGGCCAATGCGACAGTCGATCATTTGAGCAAGTATTTGGCCATGCGGCTGACCCTCGACTTGGGCGCTGATTTGCCGGAGGCGTGTCGCCTGCTCAACTTCTGCATCTATGTCGCTCCCCAGCCCCAGCAACTGGTCATCCTAAATGGCAACCAGACATTGCATCAGGTCAACGATAAATTCTGGAAGGTAGGAGTGGCGTCTGTCTGTATTTTCTTAGACTCAATCTTATCATCTTCTTTCAGGTGAACAAGCCAATGGAAATGTATTACTCGTGGAAGAAAACCTAAGCGAAGCGAATGATTTTTAATTTTAAGCCGTTTATTTCCAAACTGGAAATATATTTCTAGATGTAGAGCTTAACAAGTATATAAAACATCCATAATAAACGAAAATAAACTTGATTCTAAGTAAAACTAAAACGGAAAAATTTTGATTTTTATAGTTTATATATTATGTTTAATATAATTTATTTCGTTCGCATTTAGAATCAGTTAAACTTTTGGTTATATCTAGTGCGCTACAGCATCAAAAAGCGTACAAAATACAAGACATGTATATATTTAACGTTAAGTAAAAATGTTCTGTTCCGCATCTGTGGGTTTAATTAGAATGTGAATGTATGATGAGCCTGGACTCTAGCACGTATCGGAAGCCAGTGAGTTTAGGAGGACGGTTTCCATTTCTTCGTTGTATGACTAGGACTATTCAAAGTGGTGATTGTGAATGCCCCAAGGCACTGGGAAAGGTTGAGGGAGCGAGGTTGAGTGCGGTTCTACAAAGGTACACTGAACACAAAAAGCTTTAAATTGCACCGACTGCATGTATATCATTTCGGCACCCGACGCATCTTATCGGCGATGGCGTCTCTGAAGTCTCGGAAATCGCTGCTGGCCTCAATCTCGTTGCGACATTTGCCCTGGATGCGATAGAGACCGCGATTGATGTCCGTCCGATCGGCGCTGAGCATTCGCCTGGACAGATCCTGCTCCAGATCGTAGGGCAGACCCATATCCACCAGTTCATCCACCTCGTCCTGAGTGAAGGTGCGCTGGTGCTCTGCCAAAAACTCGGCGCACTTCTCGTAGATCTCCAGGTACTGCTCGGCTTCATTTTTGTCGCCGGAGCGTCTCGTTTCCATGAACTTCTGCAGAAGTCTTGTGGCCTCCGGATCAAGAAGGGTTTCGTGAACACTGTTCGACAAGGTATAGATCCGTCGAACCTCGGAGATTGTCATGTCGCTGCACCCACAAAAGCATTTTATCAGCTGCACGGTCTTGTTCTATCGGAAATATATGTAAAACTTATGATTAGCCACTTCCTTTAACCATTTCTGAATGACTACGCACTTTGTACGAGCTGCAGGCCATGATGAATTTTCCTTTAATTTTAAGTGCTTACTCAACGGCAGGTGGAAACATACTCCTTTTATATTCCCGGTCAATTTATTGTTTGCTTTGCTCCACATATATATGGTCAATAACAAAGTGTGATAGCCAAAAGCTAAGTAAAAAATACGGTGTGTCTATTTTGGGAACTAGTTCTTCTCAGCCTAAAAGCGCTTGAAAAGCTACCCGCAAATTTTAAAATTGATGGATGATTGATGGGTGACCATTTCGGATTGATGACGAATAGTTCTTGTTAAATATATTTACATATTTGAACAAAAACTGTCAATCGATTTTTAAATTTGTTTAGTAAAAATTTTAAAGAATTACATAATTTATTAAGGGAACACATCAAATCAAAATTTTTAAAACAAAAAAGTAGTCTGTAATTTAACTCCTTCTACAGCTTGGACTTTAGTGCCTTCATTAGCTTCTCCAGCTTGAGGGCCTTCTGGAAGTCGCCGCTGATCTTCAGCTTGCCGGTCATGTAGGCAGGAGCCGCCTTCAGTTTCCCGGAGAACATGTCGAAGAAGTTGTTCGAGTTCATGGACAGCGTGGCGTCCGGAGAGGCAGGTGGTGTGCCGGATCCACAAGAGCCGGAACCGTTTTTCAGGTCTAGGAACCAGGTTCCTTGCTCGGCGCCGGTTATGTTAAACTGGAAGACGGCCTGCGTCTTGGAGACAATCTCAGGCGAAAGGAGAGATTCGATTTTCTGGAACAGCTGGGGTATCTTCTGACTTCCTCCGGTTGCCGGAGCTGCAGCGGCGCCTCCTGTCGGTGCCGCATCCTCCAACGGAGCTCCCTTCTCCTCCACAAAGAAATCTACCATCAGTTTGTCGGCATTCTCGCGGATGCAGGCGTAGTCCGTGAGATCCGTAACGCCCACGGATTCCAGAACCTCGTCGTCCACAAAGAACTGACCGGTGAACTGCCTGGGCTCGCGGCTCAGGATGGCGTAGGCGGCATCGGCCATGATCTCCGGCTTGCGAGACCACTGGGCGGAGTCGGGACCGGTAAGCATCTCGATGGCCGCCGTGTGGATGGCAGTGCGGGGCCATAAAGCGTTTACGGCGATTCCCTTGTCCTGGAATTCGGCAGCCATGCCAAGAACACACATGGACATGCCGTACTTGGCCATTGTGTAGGCTACATGGGGTCCAAACCACTTGGCCTTCATGCTCAATGGCGGTGAGATGTTGAGGATGTGGGCGTGGTTGCTCTTCTTCAGATAGGGCAGGCATTCCTTGGACACCAAAAAGGTTCCACGGGTGTTGATGTTGTGCATCAGATCGTAGCGCTTCATGTCCGTATTTGGGGTGTTCGTCAGCGAAATAGCACTGGCGTTGTTCACCACGATGTCGATGCCTCCGAACTTGGCCACTGCTGCCTCTACAGCACTTCGTACCTGTTGCTCATCCCGCACGTCCACCACACAAGGATGGGCCTTTCCTCCGGCCTTCTCGATTTCCTCAGCTGCCGTGTAGATGGTTCCCGGCAGTTTTGGATGCGGTTCCGCTGTCTTGGCCGCCACCACAATGTTGGCTCCATCGCGTGCCGCTTTCAAAGCAATCTCCTTGCCGATTCCTCGCGATGCACCCGTGATGAACAGGGTCCTGCCTGCTAATTTTCCCGTGTTAATCATCTTGTTCAAAGTTTATAAACCGTGCACTGTGAGATCTTGATTCCCACTGGTAATGGTGATAGTGCTTGAAATCAAAGATCCAAGAGAAAGTCCAAAGTGCAGATTCAACCGATTGATCCAAACAACAAGTCGTCGCGAGGGAGAGCGGCAGCGGCATCTGGCTCTCTCTTTTTTCTAAGTGGGGTCGTGCCCACTTTAGTGATGGTTGCGTGCAGTGTTGCCAGTTTAACTTATTATAAGCTAGTTCTAGCATATTTAAAGCTTGTTAAACTTCCATGTAGCTTATAGCTTGAAATATGGCTTATTTTTAAATTCATTTAGCATATTCTAGTTTTATATGTACATGCGACATCAACAGTTTGTTTTGTAACAAAAATATGCTTTATGGTATGAAAATATCGGAGCTTGTTTTTTTTTGCCGATGGTTATGTGCATTTCATATGTGAATTTATTTTTAATCGATATTTTGGCTGAAGTTTTTCCACCAATAATTTGGAGTAGTAAAATCTAATAAAGCGTTTGCTAAAATGCCGAAAGTAATAAATAAAGAAAAAGTACATCATGCTTATAAAAAAAATTAACTAATAATAATAACTAATTTAATTTAACTGCAAACTTTAAGAACATATTTATACGTAAAGTTTTAATAATAAGATTTTTGTTCACACTTACAAAAAATTATTATAAATTCATCAACAATCACCTTTAAATTTATGTTTTTTCTTTCGGAAACTTTCGAAATGGACATTTGAAGACCTAATCAAAAATATTGCCCCTATGATTTTTGCCACCCACATAAAAACATAATAAGGTTTCATGATTTCTCTAATTTGAGTGTAGCTTGTTTTTAAAATTTTTTTTTTTTAATTTAAGCTTATTCTAGCTTATTTTTTAAAAAATTTAAAAGCTTATACGGGCGCTCATCACCTGGCAACACAGATCATAACTATTATGAAGGTGGTCGCCGAAAAGTTTCTTTAGTTTCTGTTGAGCAGACTTTCTACTGGGCATTTGGCGATTCCAAATGAGCAGATTTTGTACTGGGCACTTGGCGATTCAAAATGATCAGATCCGGACCCCCCGGACACCCCCTGCGTTCACCCCTGAAACAAACCGTTGTTGATCTTACTTCAAATAACTGCCCTTAACCCATTCCAAGCACAATAAAAGCCATTTGCCTTTAGTTAGTTAAACGAACGCTGCCTCGACTAAACACTATTTATTTAAAAAATTAGTTCCTATGGAATGTACAGTTCGGGACGCTGGGCCATTGGTCATTCGGATTCCAGATCCTGGCCAGCTCCTGGTCGCGATTAGTGGCCTACCGACTCCGCTTCCTCCGGCAGGCGCCGCGACAATTGCACAAAAATACGATGAAGGTGACGAAGAAGACGAGCACCGAACCGAGGACCAGGGCCATCGAGGTGGTCTGGTCATAGCTGTCAGTGGGATCCAGCACGTGCTGCTGGGGTAGCAGCTCGAAGTCGACTAGCACTTGGGTGCCGTTGGGCGGCGGGCAGGGCTGCTGGACAATGATCTCCTGGTGCTGCACCTGGTTACGTGGGTATATATAGTATTTCAATAATAACGTATGGAATTAGAAATTCTTTTTGGAGAACACTCACCTGCTTGTTGCGGCACAACTGCAGTCCGGCGGAGTTGGACAAGGTCTCGGCACTGTACTCATCCTGCACCAGGACAGGAAGCAGCCATCTTTCCGGGGAGACGAACTGCAGCCAGGACCAAAACTTGGCCAGATTTTGTGGATGCACTAGGTAGCCTCCCACTGAGGAAACTGCCAGGCTAATTAACCCATTGACAATGCTGGCCCAAACCTTGCAGGGCAGCAGGTGGGCACAGAACAGGGCCACCGTCTGGATGAGCGTCAAGTAGAGCAGCATGTAGCCTGTGGATCAAAAGGATTAATTACCAGATAGTTAGAAAAATGATTATGGTAATGGCTGGCAGAAGAACTCACCCATGTACAAGTAGATGCCCGTGTCGCTGCTGTTGGAGTAGGTGTAAAGTCCAGCCATGCTGTGGGCAGGAAGTAGGTAGGCCAACCAGATACACAGACTGGGGAACAGGCCCAGAAGACTCTAAAAGATATTACATGTTAATAAAGAATTATAAGGATTTCTTACTTGGCTATGCAAAGTAAATCTCCCCACCTGCACTATGATGTAGAGACTGCGAGTGTATAATCCCAACCGGATGTCCCGCTCCGCATGACGACGATCCTCCTGCGTGTCCCGAATGGTGAGCATGACCAGTGGCCAGTACATCAGCACCATGACGCAATGGTGGTAGCCCAGTCGATCGTGGTAACTGAGCTGCGGATCCGAGGCCGGCACATCCCAAAAGATGCATCCAATGCAGAGGGAAAGCACAGCAGCTGAGATGAGCTTGCTGATCCAGGTGAGCAGCGATCCCGGCTGCTTGTAGCCAGCGAATCGTTTGATCAGGGCACTAATCTGGCCAAAGAATCCGGCCTTCAGGGTGAAGTTCGGCAGCGAGGCAGGCGGAGCAGCCAGCGGAGGCTCCGAGTTGATCTGGTCCCAGGCATTGGCCAGGGATTCAATGCGCGCCGAGGACTCCAGCATGGCGGCTGCCGAGAGGTCGTCCAGGGTGACCAAGTCCACTGGAAAAATATTCATTATTTTCTGACTTTATGCAATATATTTGATAGAACTCACAGTAATAATCCGCTGGGTTCTTGAAGGGCGGACAGGGATAACCCAGTTCACCCATGTGACGCGGCAAGTCCGCTCGACTGCCGGAGAAGACGGTCCTTCCGCCGGAGAGCAGCAGCACGCCGGAGCACATGGACAGGATCTCAAAGGTGGGCGGCTGCAGGGTCATGATCACGATGCGACCGCCGCTGCACCACTGGCGCAGGTACTCCACCAGGAAGAAGGTGTCGAAGATGTCCATGTTGCTGGTCACCTGGTCGAGGATCAGCAGCGAAGACTGCGCCAGCAGCTGGCAGGCCACGCTCAGCCGCTGCTTCTCCGAGTGGGTCAGAGTGGACACATTGGAGGCCCGCACCGTATTCAGCCCCAAGTCCTCGATGAGCACATCCATGCGCTCCTCCAGATCGCTGCGATCCAGCGGACCTCGCAGCGCAGCGTGGAAGTTCAGGGTGCACTGGACACTCATCCGGGGATCCAGCGAGGAGACCTCCAGGGCCGGCACATAGCTGCAGAGCTCCCGCAGACCGCGGCGACTCACCTGCTGTCCGTTGATGAGGATCTCGCCGCCCAGCCGCTCGCTCAATCCCGCCAAGCACTCCGCCAGAGCACTTCCCTCCCGCTGCGAGGTGGCCATGATGGCGAACAGGTCCCCGGCCTTGGCCTGCATGGAAACGCCGCGCAGGCAGGGATTCACGTCGAGGCAGTGCACCTGGATGTTCGGGTAGATGAGGCCCATGCCCGACTGCTTCCGGCTGCCCGGATTGTGGCTGATTCCGTTTCCATTGCCGTACTGCCTGGAGCTGCCGTACAACCTGGCCTCGTTGTAGTCGTAGCCCAGATTGACGCCATCCACCTGGCTCAATCCCGCTCCCAGCAGATCCGCCTCGCTGTGCGACCTGTGCCCGTAGTGCTTGCCGTACTGCTGCTGCTGGTGCTGCTGCATCTGGTGGTGGTGCTGGCCCACCGCGATGCTCGCCCGGCTGTTCGCCTGCCGGAGCGCCGCCATGGGAACGCCTCCTCCTCCGATTTGAGCCCTGGACTCCGGACGCGAGTGTGGCATGCCGCCGATGGCACGGAAGTCGGATTCGCTGCGGTACTTCCGCAGGTTCGGCGGCACCCTGCTGCGGGTCGTCTCGTTGTCGCTGCTGTCGTAGCCACTGCTCCCTGCTCCCGCCGGCACTCCCGAGCTGTCCCTGAACGCCCGGTTCACCCGTCCCCGTACTCCGCCCAGAGCACTGGAGCCACCGTGACCGTGGCCAGGTCCCGATCCCGGTCCCGGACCAGGACGATGCGAGCGCTGCGATCCGGCGTTGGGTGGAAAGACGCGCGGCAGTCCAAACTTCAAGTATGTGTACATATTTGAGCCCAGGGGAGATCTGCAAAATAAAGATATAATGATAAAAAATTAATTAAATATTCAATTTACAAATATATCTTTATTTTAGATGTATTTCAAAGCTTTAAGACGGAAGCTGATTGTATATTTTTTCCACTCAGATTAAATCATTCGTAGTGATAGTCATAAACTCCAGTGCTGAGCTCATAGTACGGCATTATTAACGCTTGATTATGCTAAGTAATTGTTTGCTTAAATTATTTGGGGATTACTCACTTGGGTCCGTAGCGCGGATGGTTTAAGATCGATTGAACTGTGGTATCGCGTAGCTGGAAGTTTCCATATGGCAGCGGTGATTTGTCCGAAGACCCGAGAGCCGAATCGGTGAAGTCAGAGTTCAGGTTTTGCCTATTAATGTGGGTATTTGATGGGGATGGAAAGCTAAAGTTAATAGAGAGTTGCACTGGGCGGCTGCAGTTGCGGTCAGCTGGACATGATTGGAGGGCTTGGCCGTGGTCTTCAATTAGCCATTTATGGCATCTGAACTTCCGTTCGACTGCGGTTAAGTCAACCGTCAAAACTCCGATCGACAGGTGTGGTTCCTCCACCTCGTTTCTTTATGTTTCCATAACCGCACCCATGTCTGGGTTGTCTGGAGTTGGGGATCCCCCACCTGTCCACTTAACCACCCGACGAAAACTCACCTGTAGATGGACCAGGCGTGCAGGTCCTCGGATGCCGCCGGTGGCAGCGGAGTATTGGGTCCGTGGGGCACCGAGTAGCGTCGCTCCTCGCGTGACATCTTCTTGCCGCTCGAAAAGTTGCTCAGCTCCATGATCTGCGGAACACATGGAGCACACACGAAAACAGAGTTAGACGGGTTAGAGAGTTCGGGCCAAAATCGTAAGCTAATTCCGACTTAAACTGGGTCAAGAATGCTGCGAGAATGGCATCGCCATTATAACTCATAATTTGCGGGAATTAACCTAATGACAATGCCCACACATCCACACGCAGTCGCAGTCGCATTTGAAGTTGGCTTCCGAATCGCGGAGTCGCATTCACAACCATTGTCATCGCAGAAGCGGAAATCGTGTCGGATTTGATATGAGGCGAACTTGAGACACACTAACAACGAACCAGTCTCTAAATTATTCGGCAATCAAATTTAAAGAAATTTTAAATTCCCACAAAATTCCAATTAATTACTAACCTCATTAAAGCTTGCGTTTAATATGATTCATTTGAGATGCACTTCCGATAGGTATTTCAAATTTCTCATTAAAGATCCGTGTAAAATCAAAATTATATGGTTTATTATCTGTTTAGATGTTTCTTTTACCAGAAACAAGATATACCATTTGTCTTGTAAAACACGATGATCTTTGGGTTCTTTTGTTGTTGTGCAACCTTTATAGCTCTTTTGAGAGTCTTAATCTGAGCAAGTGCACATAAAACTGCCAAGACAATGATACCTAATCGGGTGTCGTCTTTCAGACTTCCAACTTGCTATCTTGAGGAAAAAATTTAAAACGCCGGGCGGGAGAACAAAGAGCGGTTCATTTCGACACGGCCTCTGGGTTTTTAATTGCCAATGCAGGCCAAAAAAAAAAAAAAAAAAAAAAAAAACAAACGGAAAAAATAGAGGCAAAACTCCATGCAAATGAACCTCGGTTCGCTCTTCAGCATTATGCAACCGAACGAAAGGCAAACAAACCAAAGCAAAGTGCTCCAAACGCTGTCGCCGCATTCGGTGGACTCCAAAATGGATGCAGTGCAGCCAGCCGTGCGGATTTCCGTTTTGCCAGCCGCAAATATTACGTAGTCGCAGTCGAGAGTTCTACAAGTGCCAGATGCTCCGAAAACCCGGGCGAAAGTGAGCGGTTTTGTGGATACTCGAAAAGTAATTGCAATCTCCACCAGACAGCGGATAGCAGACAGCAGCCACCAGAAAGTGAAGCTGGAACTGGAGTTGGGATTGGGATTGGGGGGCGGTGCCCAGAAGAAAGAAGAAAGCTTGGCGGTGGGATTACGGCATTCCACTGCAGAAATGCTTTCTTTCGCCCGTCCAACAGTGCAGATTGCTATTAGATATTAAACATTGTTGCCACGGAACTCGGCCGGTGTATTAACACTTTTAATTGCGTGTTAAATTCGCTTTAATTAAAATCACTTGTGGCATAATCGCATAAACGGATTTTACTCGCAGCCCAACGCATTTTACTCGATTTTGTTTGCCTGCCGTCGTTTTTGTTTATTATCATCATTTCTTTCCCCCAACAATTATTTGCCTCTGTTTTTTCTTGGCCGTAACCGTTTTGCCTTTCAGCCAGCACTTGGCTCAGAGTGAAAGTGGAAGTCAGGGAAGGTGGTTTTAATGCCCGCGAGAGCCTGATACCATACAGCTGAGACAGCCAGGGCATCACCCATCCGCCATTCCGAGCTACCTACACGTATCCAGATACGGGTACTTAGCATATGCACTAAAAGATATTGCTCGAATGGATTTATAGGTAGGGATACGTAAATAAGAGCAATAAATAATTAAGAGCATGTGCAGATTAAGTGTCTTATGTGGCAACTAACTTAAATAAACGGATAACACCAAACTTTAATTGTATTCAATTTGTATTTAAATATTTTGAGTAGAACAAAACCATTTATTTATTTTAATTTTTGTATCTGAGAGTACGCTTTACAATTCTTCTTCATAAGAGTTTGAACTACTTTTAAGGAACTATATTTTTAGTGCTATATAGTTTTTTCCAGTGATCTCCCTCTGCAAACTGGGCAGTCTTCATATAGGGGCCGCGAAGAAAGAGATGTGCGGCATCTGAAGCGTCGCTTTGTTGTGCTGCCTGTAATGAATGAATGGTATTGGGGGCAATGATACGGCTGCGACCACGACAGCGGCATTGATTTATGCGATCACGATGCTTCGATATCTAAGTATCTCACAGTACGCGTATCTGTATCTCTATCCATTGTTCGCACAAGTGCGTGAGGCAAAAACATTGCGATAGTCTGCTAGAAACTAACAGCTGTCAGTGGAGGAAAGTGAGTAAATGATTGAAGTGACTTTTAGTTTGTAGCTAATGTCCCGCATTTGTATTTCAAACTATGAAAAACAAGCTCATTACGGCTTGCAAATTGAAAAAACAACAAAACTGCCACTGATTGATTCAATTGTTTGCTTAAATGGCACAAGATTTTTGAAAGCGTTATATCTACAGAGGTAATTGGTTGATTTTCGCATAGCTTTCTGAGATTCATTGCAGTGTGTGCTTGATTACTTAAGATTGCTTACTAAGCTGTTAACTACTCATTATAATTATCATTAACAGCACTGCAAATTTCCGCTTCAGCACGTTTTGGAATTCGGTTAAAAAGATGTTGACACGGCCGAAAATTTTGTTTTGTTAAGATTAAAAGCGTTTTTATATCTTGTATTATGATAAATTAATAAATAGCCAACTAAATCATTTATAAGAAGCTTTGTGTTTGTTCTCCTTTTATACAGATAATCCCAAAATAGAAAATGAGTTAACCCGATTCCCATGATTTAAAGTATCAGTTGGTCATTGTTTTCCGCTGCCTTTGGGTGGCCTTCTATCAGTATCCATTAGCCAAGCCTTAGCTCACTTTATCAGATTGCGGCTCTCGAAAATCTGAGCTTGCAACACTCAGCTGGATAAACTGGATGCAGCTGTGGCCAAAATCCAGGCGAATATCCGCTGACTGAGACAGTTACAGCTGCAGCCTGGCCGGAATTATATCATAGTCTTGATTGGCTGGTGGCTCATATAGCTTATGGCTTATGGCCAAGTGGGCCAGCCGATTGCCGATCGTTGCATGATCGGTCAGAGTTACGGAAACCAAAGCCGAAGTTAGCGGATATTTGCCTGTCAACGAGGCCGGCCGGCTGCTGCCTGGTGTGAATAAATCACAATGCGCTAAGTAATTGGCCAACGGTTATTGGCAATAGCTTAGCAGGTCGATTAGGCCAATTGGCAGCTTGCGACGGTTGGTCGGCTGACTTGGTTGCATATGCAGACGGAGTCCCGTTGCTGTCATTCTGCATTCCCGTTGGCCAAGAAGTCGAGAAGCCAGCAAACCAAGAGACCGAGAAGCCAGCAATGCATGCGTCAGTTGACAAGTCGAAAACCGTTTGCTGGAGGAGCTTTGCTGTTCGCTGTTCGCTATTTTCTGTTCGCTGTTTGCTGTTCGCAGTTGCACTCACATGACCATTGATGCAAAACTGCAGTTAGACACGAGCTGCGACTTGCACTCCGGTTTTTCGGTCACTGGTCGCATGTGCGCACATTTTATGATTTAATGGAGCGCGCCCAAGTGACTCCAAGTGGTCCCGGCCATAACAGTTAGTGGCTCTCTCTCTTGGCTCGATTTTATGGGTGATTTTGTGGGCTGTTACTTGGCTTTTACTTGGACAAGATGTGTGATTGGGCTGCAAACGAGCCCTGACCTGCGGTTCACTCTGCTTCGGCCATCCATCTCCATCCATTCCATCGCCATTCCCACGCAAAAGCCAATTAAATTGGGTTGCTGGGCTCTTCGTTTCACTGGCCGAAACTCGTTCCCCGGACAGGTAGACAACAGGTAGGTCAGCCTCCCTCCCAATTCAAAAGCTTCTCCCTGATTGCCGCCGACAGACTGACGAACTGACTGAATGACTAACTGACCAAGTGACTAACTGGCGGACTGACAGACTGGAAAAGCACTGTCCAATAAAGATATCGCTGGCCCAGTGAGAAAGTGAAACTCTTGTGTGGCATAATTTGTATCTGCTGCTGCTGCTGGCTCGGCACACGGGGCGTATGATAAATGCCTACAAAATATTTCGCGACTGCAGCGGAGAGACTGCCACAAAGTGGGTCGCAGTTGCAGTTTTGTAATTTGCGATTAATAAAACAAGGGAAACTGCACACACAACGAAGCTGGAATGCACTAAAAGTAGTAAAGATTTATTTAACTGGGAAAATGCATTTTAAACAGAGAAGACAAAAGCGTTATTTCATTTTCACAAAAACGTAGGTTCAAATAGGGAAATCCATGTTCGATTCTTTGAATTGAAGACTTTAGAAAGTTGTTCACAGGTGGATAAATTTCCCTTCATTATTAAATTGATTAAACGAATTAAAGAAACCTCCATCAAATTCACAGTTCATTCCTGAAGTTTAACTTTGTATAACTTAATTATGTTTCTTCAAATAGTTTCCGATTGAGTGTTTCAAGATAAAAGCAAACCCAAATAGAGATGAGAAATCCCGATTATGTGAGATATTTTGCCTTAAATAAATGTTTATTGTCTCCGTGAGTCATGAAGAAGCTGGTAGAATTCTTGAAGAAACCGCAAACTGTAAAGAGTCACTAATGTGTTAGCCAGAAACCTGAAGGGGATCACGTATGCAGATAAATTTAGACTTTAACTTAGCTTGGCCAAAGCTGGAATACCCTGTCTCGGGATTGTCAAAAATATGCATTCGAAGGAGGGCGGAACGAATGAAATGGGCGGCAAACGAGAGCCGATTTCGAGCGCTGACTAATTCCGCTGGCAGATGCAAATTAATAACAAACAAATTAAATGATTGCCAGCCCGTGGCCAACATTCCTCGGCGACAGAGCGGTTTGTTGAACCTGCTCGTCGTCCGGTTTGGCAAGATGAAATTTTTAGTGATTATGCCCCGGGAGGAAAGGCATTCGAGATGTTTTGTGTGTGTGTTAATTGAACACTCGGGTTCCCGAGATTTTCGTTCGCGTTTTTTGTTTGATTTTTTAGCACGTTTTTTTGTTGTGCTGGCCGGCAGAAGCCAGTATGCAAATCGCTGGCCACGTTGTGCCATAGATGCTCACGCTTTCCGCCGCCGAGCGATAGCAAATACCTCTGGCCTCCACGGCGGATGAGCGACATGAGCGACAGTCGGTCAGAGAGACAGAAGGCACGCAGCGAGGAAATCTCGAAGCGGCCCAGCTTTACGACTTGTGAAAGTTTTTCGGCTGCGTAAATAGATTATGAGTGGGCAAACGTCGGCGAAACCCGAGCAGAGATGGGTCCCCAGCCCAGCAGGTGAATGAGTGGTGCACAGCGAGAAAATAAGTGGTTGACAAGTGGTTTGAGCCAAAAACATTATCAATTTATGTTTCATTTAACACTAAATTATATCTCAGCTATAGGTTTAGAAATAGTAGCATCACTTCGAACCTACTTTATATTCATCTTCTTTGTTTCTTCTTTGATTGATTTCATTCAATTTAACAATGCCCAAAAATGTTAAAAGCTAACCATTACTCTTTGGCACGCTTCTCTAAAGTTCTGTGTTTCCTTTTATGTTTGTAAATTAATTCCAATCACATACACAACATGCGTAATGAAAATCTTTATTCAGAAATTGAATTTCTAAGTAAGTAAGTGAGTAAGCTTGACATTAATAGCCAATAAATATTTGAGGAATGACAAGATTAGATGATTAAAGCTGCTGATTTGTAAAATTACTAAACTTTGAAGCCTTGTTACCCCATAAATCAATTAAAAAAACATAAACAACTCAATAAATGTGATTTCAAAGATTTCCAGCACATGAACTGTCAACAAGAGAAGTGAGAACAAATGATTAATTAAACGGCGACTAATGGGAACCCAAAGCTGACCCGATTTGTTAACCATTCGCAGCTAATGGATCTGGGCCACGAATTAGGCAACATCCGCGGCTGTAGAAATGAGTTGGCCGACGAGCTGGCAGAAATGCGAGCAGAAGAATTCCGCTGACGTCGCGCTGACTGTGACCCCAAAAAGTCGAGCTAATGTCATGCCGTCAACGAATATTCGTCATGGCTGCATAGCCCCCACCGCCAGCACCACCGCCACCGCCGACTGGCTGAAATGCCGTCGAAACCAGCGCCAAAACCACCGAGGTGGTCTCATTTCAGCGGATCGGCTTTCGGTTTCCAGCGCTGAGCGTTCAGTTTTCGCTTTGCGGTTAGAAAACCCAGGCAAGGTCAGTTTTATTAATTGCCCAAACGGAATACGAAACTTTGCCTCAGTTTCGGGCATCTTTACAGGCAATTAACGCCGCGCACAAACCAAAACAAATCCCCGCGACCGACCGACTTGAAACAAAACACTTTCCTGTGTTGCAACAGACTTGTGAAAGTGGCCAACAATTGTGGGTAAAATTTGCATGCCAAAGCCACAGTCGATCCCTCCACTCCCCAGTTGACTTTACACGTGTGCCACCAGCAGTCTAATTGACATAAATTCCATGCCGAGCCGAAAACAGAAAAAATGGCAATTTTCCCTGCGTTGCCATTGCATGCATAAAAATGCGACAGACAGGCGTATTTGGCCAAATTCCCGAACACACCCAGAGACCCAAAGACCAAAAGACCCGGTATTAGGCGCCAACCACACACTCAACTCAACGGAACTGGTTTGTCTCACTTTTGGTTGAAAAATGTGTAATTCAACATGTCCCGAACAAATTACACGCCCAATCGCAAATTATTGCCATGAATTTTGATTTGCATGGAGCATAGAGAAAACAATATTGTATTTGCATAAATAAATGGTTTAATGTAAGAAACAAAATCTGTTTAAATTCGAACATACTTGTTTTTTATATAAATTTTATAAATTTAATACCATTTGGTATAGGTTTTTTCTATATATATTTTTCTATATCTGTGACATGGATTCGACGACCGATTTATTCGGATCACGTCGTCTGGCTGGCAGGGCAAGTATCCATGTCAGAGAGGGTCTCATCCGCGCCGATTCTGATTCTATGTCAGACTCATGTCTGCGCGGTTGTCTGTGAACTTTGAGTGAAGTGAAATGAAGTGGAGTTCTCGTTTTACGGCCATAAAAGTCACGAAGTGTGTGTAGCAGCAGCGTCGTCGGTAAAAATGTACTTTCTTCGCCTAATTATGCAGCTGTTCTGCTTCTGCTTCTGCTTTTGCTACAGCGGCTTCTTCTTCATTTTCGTTTCTGTGTTAATTTAATTACAATAAAAAGTAAATTAACTCGCTGAGGCCCCGTAGCGTATCTATCAATGGCCACAATTTTCATGGTCGCAGCTTTTAATGGCTTTGGCAGTGGGAGAGATTGGCCGTGCAGGTGGGGATCTCGAATTTGCATTTCCTGCTCGTTAAGTTTTCACTTGGCCAGCGGCCAAGGGTCTCCGCCGCATCATACCGCTGACTTCATCCAGCCGGAGATCATTAAATGCAGTGATTCATCCGTCTTGGAATAGCCAGCCACTAAGTTCAATTGAAAGCACATTCGTAGTCGTACAGATTGGGGAGACCGAGAGAACGAGAACGAGTTTTGGCCAACAAGATGCAGCCACACCTTGGGAGAACCATTCGGAAACCCGCCTAGACTCAAGACAAAGACCAGATACCACCACCCCACTCCAGATTCGAACTCACCACAAAGCCATAACTGACAATCAATTCAACTTAAGCTGGCTTTTTGCCGCGCCTCGCTCTTTTTTTTGTCTAGACTCTGCGTTGCTGTCTTAAGTCTTTTGATTTGTTTTCCTTTTTCTATTTCTTCTACCTTTTCTGTATTTGTTTCTTTTGGTCAGGAATTGAAATTGTCCAAATTGAATTACGATCGCTCCAAGATCTTGTCACCTTGTCCGCTTCTAAAAAGCTTGGTCTTGTTTAGTGCTTGGTTTTTTTTTTGTTTCGGGCCCAAACAGCAGCCACAAATCATCGGGAACCGTTAGCGGCTATAATAATACTGTTAACTAATTTACGCCACTGCGGCGGCAACAGCAATAACAATGGGGGAAAATCTAGAAAAACAAAACACCAAGTCAGCGCGAAGAACCAGAAATCATTTTGGGACTTTTTCAATGAGCCATGGCCTAAACAGCGGCTTAAACAGCGTTCTAACGGTCCGGCCACCATGACTTGGCTAATTAGGTGCGAGTAATTTGTGAAATGGAAGCCAAACGGAGGCTGGGAATTTGCATTGCAAAGGGCCATTCGAGGCATTAGCTTAACAATGATCTGCAGTCGGAGCCCTGAGAATGGTGCTAAAGCCCCGATCCGAAATCGCCATTAGCCCACGGCTCGTCTTCGTCTTCGATGGGAAATCAAGCTCCGCGGCACGAAATTTTGAAAGTGATTGTGAGCGCAGATTGGCAGCTGCATCGAAATTGCAAAATGAATGTGAAAGTTGCTTAGCCGCGTGGTTATTCTTTACGAGCAGATATGGCAAGAGTACACTCAGGAATAAAGTATTATTTCTTCACAAAAAACGTATCGGATAGACCTGCTACGGCTTTCACATCTTGTTCCATATTGAACACAAAACGAAAAACATATTTTTATGTCGGATCGGAATGTGTGAAGAATATGATAAGATTATATTATAATTGATTCGCTGACTAGCAATGTTATATATATGAATAAAAGAATAGAATTAAACAAGGAAGCACCTTTCATATATTAAATGGAATGTTGCAAAAAAAGAGAATCATAAATAATTTAAACATTTCAAAGGGCATGCAAACAGCACTTTTGTGGTTAAACTATAAACATAAAAACAAATAATGGCGATAGAACTCTATCGTGAGTTTATGTATGTTTTTACGAGGAAGTGGCCGGACCAAGACGATGCTGGCATCTGCGGGTAGAGCAAATAGCCAACGATCCCCGGAGAGCCAAGAACCCAACTTGGCAAAAGCAAAGGCAGCCGGCCAAACAAACAAACAAACTGAAACTCGTATCTGTGGGATACACACTTGCACACAGAAAGAAAACGAATGATACATTTTATTTCAAAACTCATAGGTTGGTTTTAGCTTAACAAGTTTAGAAGTTTATATGATAAGCTATTAATCGCTTTCGAAAAATATCAAAGGGATATTTAAAATGCTAAGATAAATATATATTTTCAGTGCTAGAGAGCTATCAAATCCACGAAACTATAAAAAGAAATACAATTATATAAAGCAAAATACATATGTAGAATGATAAATCATTGAAAATGAAATTTGATTTTCAATCCACCTGCTTTTCTCGCTGTGCAGCGGAGCAGTGAGCTGCAGAGAAAATAAAAGACAAGACAGGCCGCGCACAAGGCACTTGGCCGTTTGCGCGACTCCGGCTTTGGCTGGCACTTGGGTTCTGGTTTTGGCTCTTCTGCTTCTGCTTCTGCCTCTGAGTTTGGCTGTGAGCCGAGAAGGGCGCAGAGCGAGCGGCTGGGGAGCGTTGGAATTATGGTGGAGGCTAAGATACGATACATTTGCTAGACAAACCCGCTCGCGGGATCTTTGACCTGCGCTGGTGACGACCGCGCGAGCAGAACAGAGGAACAACTCACAGAACCAGAAGGCAAGACCGAAGGAAAAGAACGTGCAGCGTGGTGGATACTCGGCGGCTTCGAGGTGGCAAGTGCTGGTCGCTTTCGGCTGCCGTTGTCTTAATACAATTAACAGTAAATACCAGTTGGTTGGACTCTAATTAGCCGCTCAGCGACACTCACTCACTCACTCATTCATGGCTTAGATACGTTTTTCGTTATGTATCTGCAACACTTACATTACAATGTCGATCTGCTGGCTACACCGATGTCTGCATATTTCATTTAGACCATATAGACCATACACACACACACACTTGCACTGCACACACGTCACTTGTATTTTTTGCCACTTTTCGTATCTATTGGATATTCCGCGAGTCAACAAGTAAGCACATTTGCATGCACTTCCCGGTGGCCATTAAAAAATATATTCGCCTTTGTGTATATATACTTTTTGCCCGTTAAGCCGTAAACATTTCAATTAGATTTCCATAAGTGTTGAATGTTTTTTTTATTGTTATTTTCTGCTGGGAATTCTTTGTTGGGGCGCCGAAAGAAAAAAACAGAGTGACGCGAACCGCGGATCGGTGGACACAACTCTCTCGGAGCTCGGCTCGCAGCGAACTGATCTGAACTTGGCCTCGGCCGCCATCTTAGCCCGACTGCCTCGCCTGGAAGCGAGAGAGCCGATTTCCAGGCAGAGCGGGCCATACCAATTGGAAAGGCCTCTGCGGCCAGGCAACAGTTTCAGTTCAGTTGGAACAGCGCGCTCAGTTGGTTTGGACGTGTTCGCGGAGGTTAGCAGTGTTACAATAATTTTATTAATTTTTTTATGTGTAAAAAATAGTTGAAGTGCTGAACAGATAAACAAAAATTATAGTGGCTGTTTAAAATAAATATTACTACTATTAAAAGTTTTTCTGATTTTCATAAATATGTTTTAGTTTTTTCTAACAAAGTTTTAATTCTGGTTAGTTTTTCTCTCTACACAAACCACTCTCTAAATTATTCTCTCTTTGTATTTTCTCTCTATAAACCAGCTCTTATCCAAGCCTCTCTTTAGCCACGAACAGAGTACAAGGCCCAGAGAGCACAAGAAGTATAAACAAACAAAAGCAGCTCGCTCAGTGGTGGCTATGAAAATGATCGGCAGCGATTACGTACTGGAAGCACACAACATTTTCCACACCACCGAGGTAAGTTTTCTTCTCTCTTAACTCGTGGAAAACCCCTCAACAATAAATTTTCTTTGTTTTCTTTTGGTTCTACCAACAACAGGTCGATGGTGGTGGCTGTTTTAATGGAGCCGGCAATTCGGCCCTGGTGCTCAAAGGCGTAAATCTCACCGTGCACAGTGGCGAGGTTATGGCCATTCTTGGATCGAAGGGTATATAAGAAATTTTCTATCTTGTGAATTAAATAACTAAAATATTTTTAATTTTTAGGAAGTGGCAAAAGAGCTCTTCTCGACGTAATCTCAAGACGAGCTGATGGAGCCACTCGAGGTCAAGTGCTCCTCAATGGATCTCCCCTTTCGAAGGCTTTGTTCCAACAGCGTTGTGGTTATGTCACCCAATCCTGCACCTTTGTTCCTGGACTCACGGTGGCCCAGACTCTACACTACACTCCCACCATTGTAAGTAGTTATTAAATACAAAATGGAAACCGAAATACACAAATTTTAGGATATATTTAGTAAGACAGGTAATTCAGATATTTCAGTTGGAAGTTTTTAAATTTTGGAAACTTTTATAAGTTAAAGTAAGCTTGTATTCTAGATATAATTTCGTATTTTAAGATCTAATGGCTGTATGCCTTGTTCAAAAAGATTAAAATACCTACATGGGCACTCTTTAAGACGTATAAGGTGGTACTCAAGGTATTATTTATTGAAATGAGGTAGATTCGTATCAGTTATTCGTATAGAAGAGTATTTGGAAAAAAGTTCTACTTATTTAATGGTATAATACATAATCTCTTTACAGTTAAGTGGTTATCTAAAGAGCTCCAAGGTGCGTCAAGTGTTGGCTGACTTGGCCCTTTCACAAGTGGCCCACAAGCGCGTGGAGTATCTCAATATCAGCGAGGCACGTCGTCTGGCTATTGGTATCCAATTGGTCAGGGATCCTGGTTAGAAATTCAAATATCTCTTAAAACCATTTAATAATTTCATATTCCTTTCAGTGATGTTATTGCTGGATGAGCCCACACACGGATTGGATCCCTTGAGTGCCTATCTGTTGATATCCATTCTGTCCAACACGGCCAAGAAAACAGGATGTGGAATTCTACTTTCGCTGGAGAAGCCGCGCTCCGATGTGTTTCCTTTCTTGGATAGAGCACTGTTCCTCTGCCTCGGTGGAGTGGTTTATTCCGGAGGCACTCGAGCCATGTTGGAGTACTTCCACGGCATTGGATTTCCATGTCCCCAGCTGGAGAATCCTCTGATGTACTATCTCTGTTTGTCCACCGTGGACCGTCGTAGTCGGGATCGGTTTTTGGAGTCGAGCCAGCAAATCGAAGCTTTGGTGGAGAGATTCTCAAGAGAAACTCCCATTTCGGATGCGCCGTTAAATAATATGGGATCTGGCAAAGTGCCTCTGGCATATGGTAAGCCTGGAGAACTGAAAGTGTGGGTTATGCTATATCTGTAAGTATTTTTTAGAAAAAAATTAAACAACAGAAAATATAAATATTTCCTTATCTAGAAAACTACTAGCATCAACCTTCTCTTGTGGACTCGTGGGAATGAAAACACTATTCCTTCGCATGCTGCTACTTCCTTTGGCAATGAGTATCCTTTGGGCCTTTTACACAGATGTTGGAGTAGGTACACCAATACCTTATTTTAGTTATGAACTGATTAAAGTTTCCTTTCCAGGATGATGCCCATGGTTTCTTCACCAAGAACGGGATGATCCTTAATATTCTGGGTTTGTCTTACGGCTGCGGTATCCTGACCACCATATCCCTATGTAAGTAGTTTCCTCTACTCTTAATACGTAACGCCTTAACGTCTTTTTCCTGTTCTTCAGTTCCCATATGGCGTAAAAAGTTTTCACAGGACACCCCAGAAGGACTTTATTCTGGCACTACTCTTCTGATTGCCTACAACTCGGTTTCTATTCCCTTTTCCGCAGTATCTGCCGTGATTGCCAGCTGTGTTATTTACCCGTGAGTTTTGTTTTAATATTGTAAATAAGTTCCAAAATTACTTGATTTATTATTGCAGTCTTCTGTTGGATACAAAGTACAACAATGGCCTTGTCTTTGGCTATTTGCTGGTGGCCCTCTGGTCTAGTTTTGTACTCGCCGAACAGCTGACGATTGCCTTCCTTTTGGTGGTCAAGGTTCCTTTCAATGCAGCCATTGCAGTTACCTATGTTTTAGTCATCAGTATTGCATTGGCCAGTGGTACAGTGCGGTGAGTTAACAGCACATCTGTTAGATCTGCTTATAATTTATTGAATAATGTATATATTATATTTATTTATGTCATTTCTGTATTTAGTTCCTTCAAAGGACTCCAGCCCTGGTTGCAGGATAATACCAAGGGAACACACACACGATATGCATCTTCCCTGCTGCACAGCATCGCTTTTCAGTCGCGGAAACTCAACTGCACTCCCACCGCATCCGTGATTTGTCCCAAGGCAGCTGATTTTATGCACGAGCGTTTGGGATTACCAGATCCTGATGTAAGTATAATTCAAATATAACAACTTATCAGTTGAAAAATAATAATTCATTCACCAGGAAACCATCGATGTAGCAGCCTCTTGTGCATTTGCTGTGGGTTTGGCAGCCTTCAACATGCTAGTTTACCTATTTCCCATGCCGCGATGTGTTCGTCAGAAGTTTAAGGACTGAGGATTGTCAATTTTGCAATGCAATATTTAAACTATAGTTCTTCTAGATTTTATTTTAATTTAATAAAAAGAATCTCTGAAACTCATTAATATTTTAATGTAACCCATTTAAAAAAGGCTTTTTTACGAATTACATTTCATTTTATTTACAAGAAAACTTAAGGCTAATACAATTTCGTAGTGAATCCATTGAATATAAGACAACAAGTACAAAATAGTTCAATGCAATTTCTGAAAACAATCCTCCTCCTCTCCGGTCATCGTCGATACGGTTTTCGCTGCCAAATCGCTTCAATTCAACAATTGTCTAACGACTAAACATATATTCGCTTTATTTAAATAACTAGATACACGCATGGAAATTCATTAGAACGCATCTGAAACGGATTGAATGAATGTACGCGAGTGTTAATGTGGGTGTCAAGCGGTTCGTAAGTAGATATGTGTGGTGTGTGCAGATCTGATGAGCATGCTGTTTTCAGGGACTTTAAAATACTGTGGCACCTATTAAGTGGATGGTTTGGATTGAGGGGGTTTACTGGGTGTGTGTGTGTGTGGTTATGCAAGTGGTTAGTGCGAGTCCTGGGCAGGATAGCCGCTCAGTCCGTATCGTAGTAGGCGTAGTCGTAGCTGGTGTCCTCGTCCGCATGCGGAGGCCTCTTCCCAGCCGGCCGATCCTTCTTCTCCAGCTCCTTCTGCACCTTCTGCTCCTTTTTGCTCTTGCCCGACTTCTTCGACTCCACGGGTGGTGCACTGGTGGTGATGGTGGTTGTGGTCCGGGCCGTGGTCACCGGTCGTCGGGTGGTGGTGCTGGTCGTGGTGCTGCTGGTGCTGGTGGAGGAGCTGCTGGCCTGCGGACTAGATGCCGCCAGCTGTGGACTGTACTGCGAGTTGTACTGCTGCGAGGTCTTCTCCGCCTTGTAGATGTCCGCCCGCAGCTTGTTTATGCTGGCCGCTCCGAAGTTCAGCGACTGGGCGGTCTTGAAGAGCTCCTCCTCGTCGCTGAGGTCCGACTCCCTCTCCCGCTCCCGCTCCTTCTGGTACGTGGACTGTACGTGGCTGTGTGCCTGCTGGAAGCCGTGTGGTTGTCGGCTGGAAATCGCGGGAGCACTGGTGGTTGAGGTGGTGGAACTGGTGGATCGGTTGCGCAGGAAGCGAATGCGGTTGCGGGGGAAGTCATTTTCGTACAACTCCGGGTGGTACTGGCCGTCATCCTCGTCCACTGTGGAGTGGGGATTGGCAGTGGTAGATGGAGTCGCCGAGGTGGTTGCCTTCTTGATCACTCCCTGCGTGGGTCGGTGGGTCAGCTGAGTCTGGTAGCTCTGTTCGTAGGGCTTCTTGTACGTGGTGGGCTTGAAAGTGGTGGGAGTGTAGGGCTCCTTCACCCGCTGAGTAGCACTTGTGGTGGGGTAGTACACCTCCTGGTCCGCATAACGCTCGGTGGTGGCCTTGTAGGTAATGCTACCTCGACTGGTGAAGGATCTTGGCTTGGAACTGGGTGCAGAAAACGGAGCAGGTTCCTGGGCACCCACTCTAGTCACTTGAGGCTTGTGCCGCTGGTAATGCGGTTCCAAATGGTTCTGTTTGTTATTCTGCGCCACCTGGAAAGGCTGTGGCTTTTGTACCTTCGCCAGGTCAACAAACTCATTTTGATTGATGAAGTTCGATTCCTGGGGGCCCAGTTTCTGTTTTCGCACCGCTGAGGTGGTGGGCTTGCTGCGCTTCTCAAAGTCCTGGACTCCTTTGCCGGTTACCTTGGTGGAACTGGCTGGGGGAGATGTGGTCTTGAACCGATAGGCACCGTTGTTGGGATTGTAGGTGGTGGGCTGAATCTTCTCCTGGGTGCCAAAGTCATTGGAACCGAAGCTGAAGCGACTGGTGATGCTGCTGCTGGGACGAGGAGTGGTCACCAGACTGTAGGAAGGTCCCTTGGTTTGGGGAGAACTATCCAGGAAATCGGTGTTAAAGGTGGCATGCAGGGTGATCTTCTTCAGGGACTTGGTGGTTCCGGGGGCAGCGGTGCTCGATGACACGGGCGTACTTGGTCCACTGGTGGATCGCTGTGCTCCCCTTGTGGGCGTGACCCGCGTGGTCTTGCGCTGGTAATCCGAAAAGTCATTGGGCTTGGGACGCGCAGGCTCCTCGTCGTATTCCCGACCCCCGTGGCGATTGGAGAAGAAGTGCGAGCTGTGGGAACCCTTGAAGATATCATCTATGTCTTCTGCGGATGGGAACGTGATTAGTTTCTTGGAGGCAATGCATTTTGTCGGAGGCTCTATTGTTTCTTACGCTTCGAGTCGTCATTGTTGCCGTAATTGTGGTTGTAATAGTTGCGCTCCGTCGTGGTTGTGGTCGATGTGGTGCTGGTTGTAGTGGTGCTGCTGCTGGCCAATGTGGTTGGCGTGTAATAGGTGGAAATGGGTCGCTTGCTGGGTTGCGTGATCTCCAAATTGGGAGTCGAACTCGAGCTGGAGCTGCCACCTGTTTGGGCGTAATTGTTGCGGGGGCGTGACTTCTGTTCCCCACGACTGTTATGGTTGTTGTTGCTGTTGTGGTTGTTGTTGCTGTTGTGGTTCTCCTTTGAGCGGCGGATATCGCCTGCAATTACAGATAACCCTGGTTAAAATAACTCCAAGTCACGGATTATATTTTCTTGAAATAAGTCTTTGAGTTTTCTTTAATTGTTCTATTAAAAGATTATAAACTTGTTAATCCCGTATATCTTGAGTATAGGTTAATCATTAAATTAATTTATTTAACAATTATTTTAGTGATTACTTACCAGTTTCGGCACGTTGGAGGTGGAAAGTCCCCTCCTCCTCGTGGGCGGATTTGCTATCATCTCCGCCGCGATAGAGATCGTTCAGGTGACCATTGTCGTAGAAGGAGGTGGCCTTGTCGCAGTCCACGTCCACCCAGTTGGCGCAGATCTGGAGCTCCTGGTCGAAGGCCGTCGTGTTGGGACAGAGGAAGCGGTAGTCCTGCACCTGTTGGACAAACGGATTAGCTCTTCGGTGAAGGAGCTGCGCAAACACACAGCGAAAGCATGAAAAGCACCAAAAACAGCACCATTAGATAGGCAGAGCACATGCAAAATTCAATGTTATAAGTGGATTCGATATAGTGATTTCGATAAAGCCAAAAGCAATTAGGCCAAGAACCAGGCAGCAGCTGCAGCTCTGAGCCAAAAATCACCTAAGTAATTAATTTATGCTATCGATTAAAACCCTCTTAAATGGTATCAAGTTTACACATTGCTAACAAAAACAAATAAAATATTGATGAATTGTATACTCCGTTTAGGTAACGAATATTTTTAATCAAAGTAAATGGTTAAACAAAAGATATTGAGTACCTCATTAAGAGAAAGAAAATCATGAGAAACTAGGAAAGCATTTCTTGTAATCACTTTTTTTAATTAAGAGTCAATGGTTAAGGGGTGAGCTCTCATTTCTCGAACATTCCCTCGTTTGGTTGATTAGCTTTTATGATCGCCAGTGTAGATGCACACATCCAATCAGTGGCTTCCTTGTGAGGTGAGCTTAATGCCACAGCAACCAGAAGCACTCGTTGGCCTGTCGCAAACTTTGGCATTTCCACTTGCCATTTGGCATTCAAGATGGCCCGAGGGGGAAGCTTCTGAGGCCAGCTGAAGTGAACGTTCTCGATCTGGTTCTCGAAGCCACCGCTCTGTCCCATTGCGCACAGTAGGCTAATTGACAGGCCGAAATGTATTTCACTACACAGGCACACTCCGCACAACAAAGCAACACACACGTACAACACAACTAGTTTTATCGTTTTTGTTTTCGTTTTCGTTTTATTTATTTACTATGCATTTGAGCGACGAAGGGTGTCATCATGGCCGGATACGAGTCTATCTATTCAGAAGGCTTGTGGTTGCCAACGAAAAGCAGAATGAAGTTAGTGAAGAGGCAGTCGCTGAGGTTCTGGATCAAGTTCTCGGAGGTCGAACCAGTACCATCTTCAGCTGCGGCGGAGTCTCTTTCGACGATCCCGCGGATAAGGTACACGACATCCTCAGCGAGCTCTTCACCAGCGTTTACTCGTTGGAGCAGAACAAGGAGGTTCATGTTTCTGTTCGGCATGTTCAATTCAGCGGGAAATCGAATGACCCGTCCGTGTTTTTTAAGCGAAGCAGTCGTCGATTCTCCCGGGATCACTTTGTGGCCACCGATCGAGAGGTTCACGCCTACATCGAAAAGGTGATGGGAAAAGTAAACCAGGCAGATGAACTTCCTCACTTCATTTTCACCGTTTGTGTGAAGCAGACACGTGGCGGACAGTCTCGTAAATGCAGTGGAAAACTGCAGTTGGTTTACCTAAGGCAACTGGCGGAGGATTCCCCGCCACTCGATTCCGACACTCCCGTGGACACGCTGGTGAATCTGTTCCAGGCCCTCGCCCAGAATCCCAAGACACACATTCGGTACCACAACATTAGGTTGGTTCTTCTGCTGAAGCAGCTAATGGGCAGCGGTTCCCGCACTGTGCTCGTAAATTATTCGCATGCTCCGGAAAGAAGGGACAACCTGGTGGTCCCCACATCTAGTCCTTTGCCCAACCAAAGTCTGCCCGCGGATGTCTGGAGGGCAATGTTCAGGCAGGAGCGAAGGAGGTACCAATGCTTGAGGAAGAAGGTCCTGGGAATGGTGGAGGGCAAGAAAGACCTGAAGGAGTTTCTTGAGAGCCTGGAGGCGAATAAAACTCCTGAGGAGGAGGAAGAACGGCGTGACAAGGAGAAGCAAGAGAGCTACGTGGAGCAGATGTTGAAGGAGATTCGCTCGGAAGCGGTCAAATCCATTAATTTGCTGCAGGATCTGCAGTCGAACATAGATCAACTTAAAGAGAGAAACTCTGCACTGGAGCAGCAGCTGGAGCAGAAGAATTGCCAGCTGCTTAGGCAAAGCTTCCTCCTCCGAACCGCCCTCTCAGAGCTCAAGGGTCGAAAGCGGAAGTTCCAGGAACACCTGGCCAAGTATTCGGACAATTTCCAGGACATGTGGCATCGACACAGCTTGGACATCCAGCAGCAGGAGCAAGTGCAACGGCTCCAGATATCGCAAGCCCTCGATGCCATCTGCCAGGAGGATAATCATCCAACTGAAGTTGCCGTCGCGGAAGAGCCCAGTGGAAGACCCTAGACTCGAGCGGTTTGCAGGCCACGAAGTCCCCGCTTAAAGGTCACCCAGTCGGTCGGCTTCCTCAGGTCTTGCCATCTCCAAAGCCATCCGGACCAGTCACGAACCATTCGGAGCCATCTCACACATAACCCAGCGCATCTGGCTGTGCTACTTTGCCATTTAGCTAACGCGGTGGAAACGAGCCGATGACTGTCGGCAAGTTCGTTGCCTAAGTCTTTCGTTTTGCCCGCCAGTTTTAGGCGCTGTGACGGTTGGGGATGGCAATGAATAGAAAAACTCCGTATCAGCCATTTACTTCTGTTAAATTCCCCGAGAAGTGCGCTTTTTTCCGTGTTTCTAATTTCTAGTTTCTAAACTGTTAAATCGGACTATAATCAAAATTAAATAGTTAAAATTTTGGAAATAATTAAAGAACTAGAGAACCCGCTGATGCTTTTTATAACTTGACCAATTTTCAGCCGACTTCAAAGTGTCATACCTCTAAATATTTGTGGCGGAATTTTAATAATAATCCAGTTCATGTAAGACTTTTTGTTCCAAGTTTCTCATGATTTCCAATAGAAGACCCATATCTGAACATCCAGACGCCATAACTTCGCCAATTTTAATCCGATTCCAAAGTGACATACATCTAAACGTTGGTAATGGAATTCTTGAACGAACTACATTTAAATCCCTGTTAATTTTTTCCAAATTAATATTCAAAGCTTGTAACTCAATCCACTCTAATCCTATTTGAAAGTATAATTACTCAAAATGTTTGTAAATATATTCTCATCAAATCTTTAGCAAGTACCTAGACTGTAGGCTATGTGACCACTGCTGCCCCGATCTCGGCCAGAAGCACTTGCACCCGGGCACAACAACACTCACCCCAACTCCGGGCAGCTTGACGCAGACGTGGAACATCTGGCACTGGGTTTCCGGGTCGGCGTAGTAGCCGCCGAGGATCTTGTCGTGGCAGGTGAACTGCGTCTTGGGCATGTTCTGCAGGCTGTAGGTGGGCCAGGGTCTGCCGAAGGCCAGGTCGTCGTCCTCGTCGAGCAGCTGGGCCTGCGCGAATCCGGATCCACTGCAGAGTGTCGTCGCTGCAAGAGGGGAGACAGCAAACAAAAACAACAATATAAATCAGAAATCGTGATCTGGTTAGCACCGGTCTGCTCTTCAAATGGCACTTTTGAGCGAGCACTGCTAGAATGGCTGTCTAGTGGGAACCGAAGCTGACTCCGAAGCCGATGCTGATGGTGATGCTGAGCTGACCTGGTCAAGTGACCTTCGGGCCGCATCACTTTCGCTTACAACTGCGAGACGAGCTCGTGATTTATGTGTGCCGGAGCACTTGCTGCTGGCTCCAAGGCTGTGGAGCCACCAACTCGGTTCTGCGAGTGCGCAAGACCGCTTTTTATTTACTTTTTCGGAGCATCGATTGCTAGATCGGTATGTCCGACTCTGACTCCGACTTCGATGCCGATGCCGAGCGACATCATTAACATTGTGGCCAGACGATATATGATCGCGGCGATCAGAAAACGGATCCACTGGGCACATGGGGGTCGCTCAATTAAAATGCCAAGTCAATCAGTATTGGGGATTACTGATGTCGTACATGTGTTGGGCATTAAAAGCATGCCTAATTACCCTGAGATTGTACAATGAACATGTATCTTTGTTGTCTCCCCGGTTTTTTGTATAAATATCTTCTCTATATTTTTTTTTTATTTTTTATAGCTTCTGTTCTTGGCGCAGCCAGCAGACAGCGGAAGATGGTTTCGCTGCAATTAAGGCAAGTGTAATTGCCATTGCAAGCAGCAGAACAAAGCTCCTCTTCTCTGGCTGCGAAATTGCAGTCGTAGGTTGCATAATCCCCCACTGAGCCCCCATTTATCATACCAAAAAAAAAAACAAAACAAAAAAAAATACAAAATCAGATCCATCCGAAAAGAAAAACTGTTAAAGGAAGCCCCAAATGCAAAACAAAGAGAAAACAAGCATGGTTCGAAGAAAAGAAAGACGATGGGGCAGCAACTCGACTCTGATTCGCATTTAATTCAAGTGAATTTCGAACCCAGCTTTTCTCCCATTGTTTGGCAGTGAACTATGACTGGGCAGATGGCATGGGGCCAAAAAAATAAAAACAGGCATCCAAGGCAGCTCTTTTGTTGCCCCCTCCAATGCAGATTGTTCGATTCCGATTTCAATTGCTCGCCTGCTGCAGTGAACCTACAAATTGGTCAAAACTTTGGCTCTTTGGCTTCCACGCAGCTGTGTAAATCCCCCGAAGCCACTGTTTTGGGCGTTGGCCCACTCCACTCCACTCCACTCCAGCTCTCACCGAAAACATAATTTACAGTATGGTAATTATGCTGATGACCCACTCTTAGCCGTAATTGCCATTTCTCAGCCTTGTCTTCATTTTGGCCTGCTGCGGGGGCTGCCAGTAAATTACGCTTCGTTTCAAATGTGATCGATATGAAACCCATTGAATCCCATTAATTTCTTTCGCGATGGACCTTGAACCAGCTGCGCGTTTCTATATGAGCCATGTTGAAAAACAAAAGCTAATGAGCATGCGATTTTTTATCTCTACCGATATGCCATCTTTAATGCTCAGACTGAATGTGCGATTGTTAGGAGAAGGTTGATAGTCTACAAATCAAACCAGAAAAAACCGTATTTTTCAGAGGGATAAAGGTTGGAAAGCTATAATCGAAATTTAATACCTGCTTTTTTGCCAAAGCCTATTTAATCATTTTAGTTTTAATGTATAGATTTTAAACAATTTTCTCCTAGTAAACTCTAAACAAAAGGAAAGCTAAAAGCCATTAAACCCGAAAAGGTACATAAATTAAAAAAAAATATTTTACTAAAAAAAGAACAAGTAAAGTAAATAAATGTATTCCCTAAATTGTTATTTCTATTAAGTCATTTTATATTTAAACAATTTAAGAGATTATTTTCCGTATTTTTCATAAACATTATAGAGTATATTTCAGTAATCCTTCTTGTAATCCTTCAATGTTTATCAGACAAGAATTTTACTCACCCAAAAGGAAGGCAATTATTGCACTTTTAATGCTCATCATGTCGTATTAGTTTTTATAATCCAAAATCAGGATGATATCCAATAGGTAATCCAGAGCAATTAAGCTGTTGGTTAATGTCGATTTTCACATGGGTCGCACTGCAAAACAAGAGGGCACAACACCAGAAAACTTATATGAGTATTGGAAGGGATTTGATTGCAAAACCCCGCAGCTGCACAAGATGTTTGTTTCTTTGTTAATTTTTGCTTGCTTTTCTTGTTGTCTTGTTGTTGTTCACTAACTCAACGCGAAAATCATCACCAGTTCGAGCGACTCATTTCCATGGCGAATATGCCACAAAAAGTTGTCTGTCATGTAGGAAATGAGCAGACGTCGGGGCAGAATTCTTCAAGCATCGATCGTGTATGTAAATGCGTACGAAATGTGTTTCGCAAGGTGCGAAAACTACGGAAAGCCCATTTAGAAGGTGCAGCGAAACGTTGAGAGACGTCTTCGTCTGCCTCTGCCGCACTTGGCTGGGCAAACGACGGAAAGCACTGAAAGAACCACCACCGACCAAGCCACCGAGGAGCCACCACCGAAAAGCAACCACTTGAACCAACCGCACGGAGCAGACAGGCGAACCAGGCGATATCAGCGGAAAGAGCGGAAAGAGCTCGCGATGCGCGATCTGTGACTTTATCGTCCACGTTGTCGAAGCGAAATGATTTCTGAAAGCGAAAGGAAAACCACTTGGAGCCCATCGCAGTGCGGCTGCCAAGGCAGCGGCAGCAGATCGAGTACAGTGGGACAAAAGTATGGAAAACTGTTTCCTTTTTATAAATTGCATGGATTACCAAATCCTACCATTTTGGACACTTTTGTTAACTATCACATCTAATACTGTTTACAGTTCTTCAGAAAGGGTTGATAATGTTTTCCAGAGCAATATTTGATTTCCTCTTTAGATTTTAAGCCTAAAAACGCCTGAACTTGAATGGATACGATGATATGATATGATATGACTTTTAAGTTGATAAAATTAAATTAATTTAAATTGATGAAAAAAAATATTATTGTTTTTTTTTACAATGAATCCCTATTTATTATATTTATATTATAAGAAAGTTAAATAGTAGTAAAATTACAAAATGCATAGGGGAATCAATATATCATGGTTATTTCTTAGCCAATATAAAGAGCCCACTGTGCAACGCCGACGACAGCAGCGCAGTGGCGTTCCAGCCTCGTCTAGCATCTTCGTGGTCGTCTGGCGTTCGTTCGAGTGCTTGGCTCTGTTTGTGTTTGTGTTACCACGGCTTCTTGGTTCTGTTGCCTTTTTGGTCGGGCCTCGCTGTCGTATGCTTAACGCGAATTACGCATACGCAGCGTGTGACCGAATGACACTTACCTGGCTGCATTGTGCGCGATACACCACCTGCCAGGAGTCGTTGGCGCTCATCACTTACGTCAACTGGCCGCAGGGCCAGCTCATGATTATGGGCAAGCAATCCCCCGCCCGATCAACGACCCCCACATCAATTACACCCGCTGCACACTAAACAAAAATACGAAGGAAGGTATTTTTACTTGTATTTCAGAAGAGTTAATAAATAAAATTCTTATAAACTAGAATTTTAGCAACGAATATATGTTGATATTATAAAAATAGTTTGCTTTCTTCATGTTTTTAATGCCGAAAAGTATGAATAAAAATAAAATTGAACTAAGCCAGATACTCCCATATTTTTCTGATTTGTAGTTTTATCTATAATACTTATATTTTTATTAGGTTAGGGTTTTCAGTATTGTAAATGTAAAACAATTTATAATTTAAAAACCTGTAACCTAATTCATAAGTATTACATTATATGTTCCTCTTTTTTCTGCCCTTTGAAGTTCTGTATTTTTGCAGTGCAAGTGCAGCTGGGCGCTCGTTCGTCGCTGGTTGCATCTTCCGCTGGGTATTATGTCATAGCCGTGGCGGGGCTTTGTCATTTGCTGCCCCATCTGCCGCTGCTGCCGCGGCTGCCACATCGGGGCAAAAGTCGCGGTGCCACCGCCAATCCGGTTATGTGTATATATGGGTGAGTGTGGCACGGAGCTGGGGAGTTCGAGGGAAGTGCGGGCGGCGGGGAGTTCCTCGGCATTTGCTGCAGTGTGGGAATTTACACGCCTGCTGCTTCGGCCAGATCTTCTGGCGGATCTTGGGCGTTGCTGGCTAGATTCTCTATACTCGCTGGGCAGGGAAGCTGGCTGGCTGGCGAACAACCTCAAGCTGTCACCTGGAAACGCGAGCCGAACTGGCAGCTTGGCATTTCAAAGTTGAGGTTGCCTGCCGGAAAAGGCCAGCCAAAGTCATGCAGAAAAGCGAGGCAGCTGGCGAAAAAATGTCAACTGGAGGACGAGCCTGTTCGCCTGACTGCTGCTGCTATGACTTTCAACCCGGAGCCCGGAGCCCAAAGCGGAGCCATCTGCCATCACAGCGGAGCTGTGGGAAGTGGCCGCCATCTTTCTAATTTGCTGGCAAATGCGATTGTGCAATCGCCGTGGCAATGCTGTTTGTAATAAATGTTCGCTTTACGATCCGACTCCTGTGTGTGCCCATGACTCACGCGATCCCTCTGCGTGGGAAAGGCCAGCAATAAGGAAGTCAGTCGTAGGTCCGAGATCCAAACACCCAATTGTTCCCCGAAGATGAGGTTCGACACGATCGCTGTCGCTGGCCATTACACAGCACCTAAGCGGATTGGATTCTAATTAGCGGGCGCTTTCAATTAAATACCCATCTATTCGATGGATACGAAACGGCGAAACGGCCTCGGACTCCACGCCTGACATTGATGAATGTGCTCGCCGACAAAGACACGAATTCGGTGTTCCACCTGGCAGCTACAAGCCAAAGTACACGCCAGAATCCACTGGCGGGGTAAATTATTTAATTTTTACTCATTATGTAAGCGCGGTTCGCCAGTAAGAGTGCCGAAAGCATTTGCACAACGTGTGGGAGCCGGTGGAAAATGCATTCACCGTCGCCAACAGCAGCTAAAAATTCAATTAAGCTGAAGATGCGCCTGAGCAGACTCTCGACTCTCGGCTCTCGATCCCATACCATCCCATCCAATCCCATCCATCCTATCCAGCAACGCGCCAAAAAATGCCAAAAAACCAAGCAGTAGCTGGTGTACAATAAGAGACGACTACAGAGAGAGAAAGATGTATCGATAAGATCATAACCAAAAGTATTTTTTATTTAGAATTACCTTTGGCCAAGAAAACACATCAATTGAAAGGCTGCAATTGAAGTGAACAGATGAAAATATATTTTTAAAATTTGGATACATCTTTTTCCCAGTGCATTAACGAGTGTCGGGGATTGCGATTGGGACTCGAGCGGGAATTGGAAACCCAGCTCGTTGAGTAATTGTGCAGCAATGAGCATGGGCTGCCAGCAGATTTTCCCGTTGATAAAGTGCAGCTCTCGGAAAACCTTTGGCAGCGTACCGCTCATAATAAGAAATTGCACAGGGTACATATAAATGTATTTACACACATATAATTTCCCATTGCTGAGATTGGGATGAGGATGAGGATTCGGATTTGGAATCATATTCGGGGACTCAGACGTTGCACGTGGCAGCGACAGCCGCAAATGGAGACGGAGACGCAGCTGTGCAATTTACAGTACAGTTTTATGGATGCGACGCCGCTTGCGAAACGCAAAGCTTGCTGGGATTGGATTGGATGGGATTGGAATGGGTCAGTCAGGCAGTCGGACAGTTGGCCACTTGGTCAGTGGTCATTGGTCGGCGGTCAGTGAATGGACTGCCTGGCTAATTTGACGCATCGCCGTGATGCGGCACATTTGAAAATCTGCATGCGGTGCACGTAAAAAGTCTCCATAAAAACGAATGACTTAGGAAACGAACTTGTTTCCGATACTAGCTACTAACTACATATATTTTTCGCTTACTAGTTTAACTGTTCAGTAAACGAAAATTGCTACTGAAAATCTGCAGGCTGATGATTTCCTATCTGAAATTAATTTCAATTATTTTAATCGCATTTACTTGCCTTTTCCAGCCGACTTAAGCTGTCATTAGCTTTAAAGCATCCTCAGGAAAAAGGGCATAATTTTCATGGCTTACCAAATAAGTGCAAACTGGTTTAATTGCTGAGCTTAACGAGAAAGGAAAACTTGTTGCTTTAAATCAAATGAACTGCACCGTTTTGAAGAATGGATTAAGGCGAACCAAAATTTTCTCAGTTAACCATAAAACAAAAGAATTTAATTTGCGAATTAAACTTTATGTAGGATAAGTACAAACAGGTTTATGGCCTGCGCCTATTGACAGTCAATAGATTCAAGCATTCTAAATTGCATTTGTTGGCACTCGTAAACCGACTTAAGCTGCCATAAGCAAAGCCAACACAGCCGAAATTTGCATAAAATGTGCATTAGCCACCCGCCTCCGCCGATCCGGCGACCTCGCCACCACCACCACCACCAGCACCACCGCCATCATCATTATCACCATGGAGCCATGGATGCATAGATGCATGGAGGCAACCACCGACTTGCAACTGGCAGCCAAGATCTCATACCATCCCAGCCATCGGAGCGGCCACACCAAGGCGCAACTTGTGCCGAAATCTGCACGACGAAACGTGAGAAAATGTTATAGGCATTGCAGTTGCTATGCCACGTACACACACATACACACACACAGGCGAAGGAAAATAAATAATAAAAAATAAAGAAAAATATTCGGTAAATTATGGGAATGAAATGGAGGAAGGAGCGGGAGTGCGGGGGTAAAGAATCCGGCGCTCCAACTTGCAGATGCTGCGGTCTCTGTGACTAATTGCATGCCCATACAAATGCACTTTTCGTAATGCTGGAATATGTGCGAATTATTATGCAGTCGAATCTTCATTGTAATCATGGTAATGAGCTCTCCGGAGCGGAGGCTTCGGCATTGTTCGTGATTCTTCTGGCCAGAGATTCTGAGCCAAATGCCAAATGGCTAGCGCGATGACCAGGATGTTGAGCTTGGGCTCTGTCAAGACAACTTTTATTTTATGTTAATTCAATTAGACGGCGACTTTTGTCACCCCGCCACAACGGCAGCCGCATTGTCTTTGTTTTCCCTTAGCTCTGCCCACCAATGGGTCTTCTTCTTTTGGCCAGCAAACATTTTGCACAAAAACGTTTTTGAGGAGCGCCACTTGCTGATCGTTTGTTTGCCAAAAAACACGACAACAACGCCAGGCAATATAGCAACATCCAGCGACAAAACAGCAACCACACTTACAAAAAAAACCTAGAGTAACAGAAAAGAACAAAAAATAAAACCTACTACAAAATATTTAAATAAATTATCTAATATTTATTACATTTAAACAATTTCCCTTCAATACAAGCTTTTATAACACAACTTTTGTTTGTAAAATTATGCTCTTAGCTTCTAACATCTACTTTGTTTTCAGTGCACAACAGCAACAGCCTGAGAGCTTCGGTCGTCGCTGATTTATGCGTTTTGCAGCATTTAAATTGGCATTTATGTCAAACTGAGGTAAGGGTAAGTAATATTTTGTATAATACATTTTGCTTTATTTGTTTTATAAGCGAGCGTCCTTGGGGTTTGTCGGCTTCGACACTTTTCCAGCCGGAGACTCTTTCCCATGGCTGCCACTCGCATCCAAAG